CTTCCTTCCTTCCTTCCTCCCTCCCTTCCTTCCTCCCTCCCTTTCTTCTTTTCTTCTTCTTCCTCTTCCTCTCCTTCTCCTCCTCCTCCTCCTCTTCCTCCTCCTTCTTCTTCTCCTCTTCCTTCTTTCTTTCCTGCCTCCCTCCCTTCCTTCCTTCTCCTCCTTCCCCTTCCCTCCCCCTCCCTTCTCCCTTCCCCTTCCCCTTCCCTTCCCTTCCTTGCTTGAGAGAGGGTCTCACTCTGTTACCCACACTGGACTACAGTGGCATGAACGCAGCCCACTGCAGCCTCAATGTCCTAGGATCAAGTGATCCTCCTGCCTCAGCCTCCTGTGTAAGCTGGGACCACAAGCATGTGCCACCATGCCTGGCTAATTTATTTATTTTTTGTAGAAGGGCCTCACTTTGTTGCCCAGGCTGGTCTCGAACTCCTGGGCTCAAGTGATCTGCCCACACTGGCCTCCCAGAACGCTATGATTACAGGCGTGAGCTACTGTGCCTGGCCCCACTGTTCATTCTTATCACTGAGAGGTAGAATGCCAAGTCTGAAGCATGACCCGAATACACAGCAATATAAATACATATGAAAAATGAGTGAATGAAAGTGCATCCAGGTTTCTTGATAATGCTCACCAGTATGATGCCCAAACCATCAAATACTTTCTGAGCGAGAAGTCACATGGTTTTTGGGGGGAGCAGGGGGCAAAGCAGGGGTTGGTTTAAGATTCAGAATGATCTCAATTCAAGTAAAACCTACATAGGGAATTTCAAAATAAGGAAAGTCTCTTGTTATCATCAGAGACTTAATAGATTTTTTTTTTTTTTAACCATTCCCAGGAAGGTCACTCTAGGGGAATTCTTTGGCTGAAGTTCCAGTGATAAAAAGGTCCTTCCTTTCTTGTTAGCCTCCTGTTAGACACATACAATTCCTTTTCCTCAATAACCAGAGACTCCCTTGTTCAGGAAAACGGAATTTCCTGAAGAGATTAGCCAAAGTCTTTTCTTTCCAGCTTTCTGAAAACAAGCTCAATTCTCTCATTAGTGATTTCTAGAATGGCTTCTTCCTTTCTACTTCCAACAGAGAGCTGAACCTGGTAAAGATCCTAACTCAGGAAGCCTAAGGTCTCTGTCTGGTTTGAGTGGAAAAGAACTCTCTTCTACTCCCATGTGACAGAATCTGGTCAGCCAGCGAGGACCTACTAATCATTCAGAAGCAACTGAGGGAAAGCCTTTCCTAGGAATAATGTATTTTAGTTTTCCACTTTCATTTAAGGAAGAAATAATTTTCCCCCACAGACTGCAGATCCACGGATCTATCAGCACGATTGTACAGTCCCAAGTAAGACTAGGGGTTCTTCACAGGCCTAACTTATCTGTCTATTCTGACTATCTCCCATGAAGTGAGCTGGGTCAAAGCAGAGTTTCCATCTCCCAGATTCATATCCTCTTCTCTTATGCAGATTCTGTACTAAGAGTATGATTCCATTAAAAAAAGAAAAAAGTTGAAAACTTACAGTTAATGCTGTTTTTAAAAATATTTATCTTCATCTTTGTTTTTTCCTTATTAAAAATAATTTGAATCTGAAAACAGAGTCATACTTTATAAATCTGGTCTGCTGCTGGAGTAAGGAAAGATTAATCTGTGGCTGGACTATAACACATTAACCCAGGAACTCAACACTTACATCATGAAAATGACTCAGTCCTCAGAATGGGTCCAAAAAGACCTTCCCTTTATGCGGCCTCCCGGGGACTATGGAACTGACCCACAGAATTTTTCTCCTCTTATTGTTTTCACTTCCGATGAGCTCAGCATGAGTTCAGCCAAGAATATGCTCCTCCCCTCCTGACCAAAGACTTTTGCTGGGAGAAGGCAAAAACTCTTTCCAAAGCTTTTGACTTCCCTACAAGGTGGACAGGTAGAACAGGGCTTTTGATTTGCATCCCCAACTTGAGGGGGGATACTGATCATTTTATGGTAACTACCTATTGACTTGACAATGGACTACACACGGGACACTCCACCACCCTTCTCCCTTCTCCCACTCTTCTTCCAGGCTTGTCTTGTCAACACCAGTCCACTGTTGATGAACACACTCTGCAAGAGCCCAGCCGATCAGTGTCCAGTCCCAGCCTTCACATCCAGAGTATCTGAGGTGGAAGGCTTATTTTTAGAAATCAGTGAAACGAATTTGGCTATGACAAGCAACTAAGTGCTATTGAACTCTGAGCACTATTAGGCAACATACTAGGATACAAATAAAACAAAGTAATGCCCAGTAATTTTTTGAAATCTTCCAGCAACATCAAAAGTCAGAATGTCTCTAGAAATCAAGGATTAAATGAAAAGGAAAAGATGACTTGTCCTCAAATCCAAACACTAATATGCCTGCATGTGGACTCTTTTGCATATTTTAGCTCATATCTAATGCAATTTTAACAGGCCTGTTTATCTCATTTTCTAGCTCAATGAAGATTAGAAGGGAGGAATAGACTACACAGACCAAATGACAGCAGTGACGAGTGATAGCCGTAAGAAATAATACCCAATATCATGGCGGTGGGCAGAAATCCTGAAATTACCTCCTCCTCTCCACACACACATGCACAGCCAATCCAACCAGTACAATACTATAGAGGCCCTAAACAATAACTTCAATATAGAAATCAAAGTGCACAGTAATTTGGGAATACTTAATACAAAGCAGCCCCAAATGTCTCTCACATCTTTCAGAATATCAATATCACCATAGTATAGAACAGTACAGCCATTTAAATAATGTTAACCTGTACTCATTAGAAAAAACTTATGCATAATACATATTTAGAAAATCAGGCAAACTGAGTTTAAAATAATTCCTATATAAACCAGAACCTGGTTAGATAAAACTATTTTGGAGCCTAAAAGGATAAGTTTCAGTTTTCTAAAAACTTCATTTAGTTGGTTAGATGGTTAATTCTAAATAGCCTGGATCCAAGTAAACTGGATAACTGAAGCATACCTGTAGAAGAAAGTCTCTGCTTTTGAGACACTTATAACAAAAGAGGAAAGAAAAATGTGCAACAGGGAAAGCCACACTACTACTAGAAAGGGAGTTTCTAAGAGGAACGCACTGCTTCACGGGTTTAAGTTTTCTCTACCTACCCTTTCCTTATCTGGGTGCCTCAAGAAACCCAAATACGATGACTCCTCTTGCTCAAAATTGTACTATCTCCAAACATGGTAAGAAGGCCTTCAGCCAATGTCACACTTTAGTGCTGAATTTCCTCCAAGCTCCTAGAGGGGCCCTTCTGAAACAGCCACGTTTTTGCACTTGGATCCTGTCTACAAAACTGTGATCTCTCTAGGACCATGTGGCTCTGAGCTGGTGTCAACATTACCTCTGCATTCATGTTTTTAAGACAACGCTGGCAAGCAAGGTCTCTGAGATCACAATTTTACTTTAATGGTGGGAGTATTAACTGTGTAAGTAGGAATAGTTAACTAGTGATGGAAACAAAGTGCTGGAAGTATCCTTTCCAAATCTGTTCCATGTACAGTGGCAGAGTGAGAGACTTTTAGGTATTTACAACAAAGAAAACTCTAGGGGCAAAAGGTTCATATAGTGAGAGCCAAGATCCAACAGATGTGCTCCTAACCCAGTAAATCCACACTTTTGGGTCATATAATCATCTGTTACTTTAATTTATACTCACACAATCTCAGGACTGGAAATTTTGGCTCAGGCAAAGAATTAAAGTATTTTTGCAATTAAGGCAGTACTTCTCAACCACTCCTATAGGCAAAGAACTTGTACTCTTGAGGAGTCTGGGATGTATTATTAAGCTGCTTACTATATAAATGGGAGATTTATTTGAAGTGTCATGTTTTATTTTAATAATTAATGATAATTTTATGTTTTATTCCATAATATATCAAATATACATCAATATCCTCCCCTAAAATCTGTGTAAAAATAACACTTTAGGAAGATGAGACTATGTTTAACTTAGGGCTTTTCATACCTCAATTTGAAAAACAGGGGGCTGAGTGTGGTGACTAATGCCTGTAATCCCAGCACTTTGGGAGGCTGGGGCAGGTGGATCACTTGAGGTTATGAGTTTGAGACCAGCCTGGCCAACATGGTGAAACCCCATCTCTACTAAAAATATAAAAATTAACCAGGTGTGGTGGTGAGCACCTGTAACCCCAGCTACTCGGGAGGCTGAGGCAGGAGGATCACTTGAACCTGTGAGGTGGAGGTTTCAGTGAGACCAGATTGCCCCACCGCATTCCAACCTGGGCAACAGAGCAAGACTCTCTCCAAAAAAAAAAGAAAAGAAAAGAAAAGAAAAGAAAAGAATAACAGAGACCTGAAGATACATTCACTGCTATTACAAAATCTGGTAATCTGAAATCTCAAGAAACCCTAAGAGGAAATTCTTAGAGTAAGAGATAAGACTTGGACATTTCTTTCTATATCCTTAATTGGTTATAAAGACTGAAATAAACTACAATAGAAAAATGCTCTGGCTGGGCTTGGTGGCCCATGCCTGTAATCCCAACACTTTGGTAGGCTGAGGTGGGCAGATTGCCTGAGCTCAGGAGTTCTGAGACCAGCCTGGGAGACATGGCAAAACCTCGTCTCTACAAAAAATACAAAAAATTAGCCGGGTATGGTGGCGCCTGTGGTACCAGCTACTTGGGAGGCTGAAGTGGGAGGATCGCTTGAGCCTTTGAGGTCGAGTCTGCAGTGAGCCAAGATCGCACCACTGCACTCCAAGCCTGGGTGAGAGAGGGAGACCCTCTCTCAGAAAAAAAAAAGAAAAAAAGAAAAATGCTCAAACCAGTTTGCTCAGAAGTCCAAGAGACTATTTAGTCTTCAGACAGTGTGCTTTCATGGTGATGGAAGTGACAATAATAGAACTAGGGACAGAAGTTAAAATGTATACTCTAATGGTTTCCAAGTTACAAGCAAATAAATACATGTAAAAGAAAAAGAAAAACAAGGTTAAGACTTACTTTAAAATCTGCTAATTGTTGGTTAATGATTTCCACTTCGGTCCCCACTACCCACTGGAGGGCCTCTGCCTCCTCTGCTGCTGTGGTCGCGTCATTGAGTCCTTTCAATTTCCTGTAGAAGTCCTCTACACGGCCTAGTGTGAGTTCCAGCTGTTCCTGACGAGCTTTCCCCCTCTCTGTCAGTTTGCCACACTGTTTGTTCAGGGCTTCTAGCTCCCTTTTGAGACCTAACAAGTCCAGAGTCCCCTCTTCTTCTAGCATATGTCGACACTCCGCTTCAGAGGCCTCTATGTCTAATTTGACGACCTGAATTTTGTTAAGGAATAGTCGCACATCCTCGATTTGGGACTGGAGGCTATCAGTGTCTCTGCCAACAGCACCCATGCCATCTAGCTCATCATCCAGGTCTGCCAATTGAGAAAACATCTCTCGTACCCGGCAGTGAAACTGGCCAATCCCCTCCAGCTTGTTTTCCATCATCACACAACCACTGTTCACTCTTTGCTTAACTTCGAGGAACTCTTGCTGGGTGACCTCAGCTTGATGGAGAAGTTGGGAAGCATCAGATCCATCTGGGGCATCTTCTACCAGCCCCTGAGTAAAGTTCCTCAGATAGTCTACCTGAGGCTCTAGGGCCTGCAGCACTTCCTGTTGAGCTCTTAGCTTCTCCAGGTTCTTGTTGCTACAGGCTTGAGAACCCAGAGCATCAAAGATCTCAAGTTGGTGTTTGGCTCCTTCAACCTTCTTTTCAATATTCTTAAAGCTTTCCTGGAACTCCTTGAGCCTCTGAGTCATTTCTTCGAGTGACCCTGTTTTGGCCTGCAGCTCTTCTGTGATAGCATCCATGTTCTGGTTGATCCCAGCCTTCTCATCCCGGATTCCATCCTCATCTGCTTCTGAAGAATTGATCAGAATGTCAGCAGCACTATTCAATATTTCCAGCAGGGAGCGGCGCTTCTCCACCTCACTCAGCATAGCCTTTGATCTCAGGAGACTGGACTCTAGCTGCACTGGATCCAGAGTGACTCGCAACTCAGACATCTTAGCTTTACAATCTTCTATCCATGGCACAAGGTCTTCCACATGCCACTGATATTTCTGAGCTTTCTGCATACAATCCTTGAGCCTGGATTGTCTGTCTGCAGTTTTTTTACTAAGCTCTTCCCAATGGTTTTTGAGCTCAACCAACTGGTTTTGTAGAGTCCTTTTCTCTTCTCCAGGAGGTACAGAAAGAAGTAGAGACTCCCCTTCAGCCACAATCACCTCATAGGAGCCACTGTGTTGATTAAGACTTTTCTGAAACTCTTCATTCTCCTGTAGCTGAGAATGTAACCGCTCCAATTTTGCAGAAATGGGGCAGTTTTTTGCTTGCTGGCTTTGTTTATCATCCAACCAGGTCCTCAGCTCATCAAACATTTGCTGGAACTGCTGGGTGCTGGCAAGAGCTGCCTGGAGTCTGTTCATGCGATCGGCTGAAATGAGAAAATAAAATTGAAATTAATAATGCCTGAACCCTGGCATTTAAAATGTTTGCTGAGAATATATGGTCTAATCTTAGGGGAAGGGAACTAATGTTACTTGAGGGCCTACCAAAAAGAGGCATATAATTAGGCTCCTTCATATACACTATCTTATTTAATCCTCATAGCAACCTTGTAAGGTGATCTAAGTAACAGAAGTAAACTTTGACTTCTAGCTGGTAAACGTGAAAGTCATAAACATTTTCAGAAAGATAAATAATAAATGAATGACACAATTTTTCTTCTACCAAGTTATAATAAGTCCAGAAGAGGATGGGTGCGGTGGCTCATGCCTGTAATCCCAGCACTTGGGGAGGCTGAGGTGGGAGGATCAGTTGAGCCCAGGAGTTCAAGACTAGCTTGGGCAACAAAGCAAGACCTCGTCTCTACTAAAAATAAAAATAATCGCCGGGTGCGGTGGTTTAAGCCTGTAATCCCAGCACTTTGGGAGGCCGAGGTGGGCGGTTCACAAGGTCAAGAGTTCGAGACCAGCCTGGCCAACATGGTGAAACACCGTCTCTACTAAAAATACAAAAATTAGCCAGGCATGGTGGCACGTGCTTGTAGTCCCAGCTACTTGGGAGGCTGAGGCAAGAGGACTGCTTGAATTGAGGAGGTGGAGGTTGCAGTGATCCAAGATCATGCCACTGCACTCTAGCTAGGGTGACAGAGTGAAACTCTGTCTCAAAAAAAAAAAAAAAAAAAAAAAAAAAAACAGCTGGGCATGGTGGCATGTGCCTATAGTCCCAGTTACTTGGGAGACTGAAGTGGGAGGATCACTTGAGCCCAGGAGACTGAGGCTGCAGTGAGCCATGATCACACTACTGTACTCCAGCCTGGGTGACAGAGTGAGAACCTGTGTGTGTGGTGTGCATAATATTTAAAAAAAAAAAAAGGTTGGGTATCAATGCGAGTATATGTGGAACTCCACTTAGTACATCTATGGGGATGAATCTCTACTTGCTGGTTGAAATTTTATTAGAGCTTTTATCTTTAGGACTATGCTATGTAAACCTTCACATTTTGTAAGTGCTCACTGTGTAACAACCACAGCAGTTCTCATTGCAACTAGCAGAAGGAATTGGATTAACACCATTCTGAGCCTAAAAATTACGTAAGGGAATCCTAGATTCTTGGGACTACTCCTAACCCATTCCTTCTTTCTGCTTGCCTCTAATAATGGCAGAAGTATGTTCTTCACTCCAACTTACCTGCAAGGTCTTCTAAACCTTGGAGAGGCAGGGCAACTGTCTCCAAACGCTTCTTCAGTTCATCCTTGAGGTATTGCTCACCAATGAGCACTGAGAGTTCATCGCACAGTGTCTGAGCCTCCTTAACCTCGTGGTCTAACTGCTCCAAGTCAGATCGAATTTCACTGGTCTCTTCCAATTGCTGCTTTACAGCCTCTGGTTGGGTGCTGATAGCTGACTGGCCACTCAGTCGTTGTCCAACTGCCCTCACTTTCTCTGATAAGTCCTGGAGCAGTTCCTGGTACTGGGTGCTCTTAACAATAGCTTGGTCAATTTGGGTGGAACGGGAGTTGAGTTTGTCAGTCAGCTCAACCCATTTCTGATTGATGCTCTGGAGTTCTTTCTGTACTTGGCTGGTGGATAGAGAGACATCTCCAGGGCCTGTTAGGATGCCCTGAGCTGCCTCATTCAGTTGTTCATGCTGTTGCCTGCGTGCTTCAAATTCCTTTAGCATAAACTGAAACAGAAATGACACCAAGATGTTTAGACAGGAAAAAAACAGATCTATCTAAAAGCAGTGTCAGGCCAGGCACAGTGGCTCGCGTCTGTAATCGCAGTACTTTGGGAGGCCGAGGTGGGAGGATCACTTGAGGTCAGGAGTCCAAGACTAGTCTGGCCAATGTGGCGAAACCCCGTCTCTACTAAAAATACAAAAATTAGCGGGGCGTGATGGTGAACACCTGTAGTCCCAGCTACTTGGGAGGCTGAGGCATGAGAATTGCTTGAACCCAGGAGGCTGAGGCTGCAATGAGCTGAGACAGCACCACTGCACTCCAGCCTGGGCAACAGAGTGAGACCTTGTCTCCAAAAAAGAAAAAGCAGTGTCAAAACAAAAACTGATGTTGGATTGTGCCAAATAGTGCCAACTACTTTAAAAAATAAACCAGAAAACTAAAGGACCGGGCTAGTAGGCTGAGGCAGTATCACTTAACAATTGCTTAATAAAAACTTATTTTGAAAGGCTCAGTGATTGTTCCTATTTTATTTCTTTTCCTTATTTGTCCCATTCTGTTTCAATGTCAGTTACTAAGGCCAGACATGGCTGAGAAATTAAAGTTGGCATTCATGTGCCTTGCCATGCAATACCCAAGCCTCTAAATAGGGAGTTCAGAACACTGGATCCCAGAGCCAGCTGTATTACTAGCTGGGCTTGCCATGTCAACTCTCAGTGTCTGTTTTTCTTAGTTTCTTTCTTAGAATTCGAAGAGCATATACAATCTGTATTTTATAATATAGCATAATTAGACAAAGAGCTTCTTTAAGGCAATGACTACGACTTTTTATTTCTTTTCTATCCCTTGCTGCTGTCATCAAAAAAGTTAAGATTACAGGATCTGGAGTCAGACTGTCTGTGTTCAAATCCTGGTTCTGTCACCTACTAGCTGTATGACCTTAGGCAAGATTTAATAAGTTCTCAAACCCCAGCTTCCTCATCTGTAAAATGAGGACAGTAGAGTACTTATTTTGGCTGTTATAAGGATTAAGTGAGATAATTTATAGAAAGTAATCAGTATTTATACTGCACAAAACTAGGACAGTAGAGTACTTATTTTGGCTGTTGTAAGGATTAAATGAGATAATTTATAGAAAGTACTCAGTATTTACACTGCACAAAAATAAATAAGACACAGCCTCACAAAATGACAAATGTATAAACAATGAACTATAATAAAATGTAACAAAAGTAAAAATGATTAAACAGTGATGTGAACATGCAACACAGAACTGTGAAAGCATGGAATAGGGTGATTAATTCCGTTGGGGATGACAAATGGCAGAAGACAGAAATCAGGAAAGGCTCCCCAGATGTGACAATAAAGAATGAGTAGTTCTCCAAGCAGAGTAGAAATTAAGGCTGGTGAAAGGCACTTCAGGGGAGGGTCTAGGATTAGCAGACATACACAGATCAAAACCATTTTCATAATACTAAGATGTTAGTTGCCTTTTAAAATTTTTGTGCTGTCACAAATGTTCAATGATGTTTTCCAGAGGCTACGTGGTGCTTGATATTGTAACAGATATGCAGAAGCAGATATAAGAATAGCCTATTAAGCCAGAAATTAAGATTTGCAAAGATATAAAACAATGTCCCCCCTCCTTTTTTTTTTTTTTTTTTTTTTTTGAGACAGAGTCTCGCTCTGTCGCCCAGGCTGGAGTGCAGTGGTGCGATCTCGGCTCACCGCCAGCTCTGCCTCCCAAGTTCACGCCATTCTCCTGCCTCAGCCTCCCCAGCAGCTGGGACTACAGGTGCCCGCCACCACACCCGGCTAACTTTTTGTATTTTTAATAGAGACAGGGTTTCACTGTGCTAGCCAGGATGCTCTTGATCTCCTGATCTCATGATCCGCCTGCCTCGGCCTCCCAAAGTGCTGGGATTACAGGCATAAGCCACCACGCCCGGCCAATGCCACTCTTATCATTAAACTTTTATGTTTCAGAAAACGCTATTTTTTCATTAAAAATGTTATTTAGGTTAATGTGATGGTTTTACCATTGCTATTTAAAAATTTTAAATATATACTTTTAAAATTCCTCAGTATTTTAGTACAATAATGTTAACAGATAAACACAAGCTCTGGGGGATCCTCAGTAATTTTTCAGAGAATAAAAGGGGTTCTTGAAACCAAAAAGTTTAAAAACCCTGGATTAGAAAAATATTTGTAATTAGACTAAATAGGACTCAATAATTACCTGGATGCAGGAACTGAAAGAAACAGTTCCTTCAAAAAGCACTCTTAGGTCTTAACTTAAGGAACCTGGTAGGTTGAGAAGACATGGACCAGGCTGTGGGAGAATGTAAAAGAAGGAAAAGCCTCTAGGCAGGATTTCATTGGAAATGACATAATTTTGACCAACCGAAATTTCTTTCTTTTCTTTTTTTTTTTTCTGTTTTGAAGCAGTTTTTGCTCTGTTGCCCAGGTTGGAGTGCAGTGGCACCATCTCTGCTTGTGGCAACCTTTGTGCTATGGGTTCAAGCAATTCTCCTGCCTTAGCCTCCTGAGTAGCTGGGACTACAGGCGCCCACCACCACGCCCAGCTAATTTTTGTATTTTTAGTAGAGGCGAGGTTTCACCATGTTGGCCAGGCTGGTCTTGAACTCCTGACCTCAGGTGATCCACCCACCTTGGCTTCCCAAAGTGCTAGGATTATAGGCGTGAACAACCGCACCCAGCCTGACCAACCTAAATTTCTACGATGTTAGGCACTTAAATCAATTTTTTTGAGGTTTGATCACAGAAAATCCTATGTAAAGCCAGCAGATATAAGATATTAAGTAATGTGGATCCTATCACAGGGGATTACAAGTGAAAAAAAATTTTTTTTTTTGAGACGGTGTCACACTATTGTACAGGCAGGAGTGCAGTGGCACAATCTAGTCTCACTGCAACCTCTGGCTCCTGGGTTCAAGAGATTCTCCTGCCTCAGCCTCCCGAGTATCTGGGATTATAGGCACGTGCCACCACGTCCGGCTAATTTTTTGTATTTTTAGTAGAGATGGTGTTTCACCATGTTAGCCAGGATGGTCTCGATCTCTTGACCTTGTGACCCGCCCACCTTGACCTCCCAAAGTGCTGGGATTACAGGTGTAAGCCACCACGCCTGGCCACAAGTAAAATATAATTCCATAATTTAGACAGAAAAACTGCCCATTCTCATATCTACTCATCTTACTGTCTCTGTTAATAATAAGAGTTTTTGACTGTTTACTATTTTACAGGCACCATGATTAACACCTTATAAATACCTCATTTAAACTGAGACTCTGAGAGATTAAATGACTTGTCTACGATCATATGAAATCTACTTACTGGGAGAAACATTCAAACCCAGTTTCATGTGATTCCAATTTCTTTGTTGCTATATTGCTCACCTGGACCTGTTGCTTTTGTGCATTCAACATGTTGGGGTCAATAGACAGGGGCCCCAGCACTCCCATCATCAGTTCTTTCTCCATCATCCATGGCCGGAGCTGGGATTCTGCAGCCTGGAAGCTGGCCAGATGACCTGCAGATTCCTCTAGCTGCCTTTGCCGAGCCACAGTCACCTCAGTGGCCCTTTCCCATCGGGAATCTGTAGAGAGGAAATGAGGGAATGTATTGCTTTACTCTCATCAACAACTGGCCTGATCCCCAAGTTATGTTCCTAATATACTGCAGGAAATGACCCCAGAAGTGTTATTTATTTATTTACTTATTTGAGACAGCGTCTCACTCTATCACCCAGGATAAAGTGGTGGCCCGATCATGGCTCACTGAAGCCTTAACCTCCTGGGCCCAAGTGATCCTCCCACCTCAGCCTCCCAAGTAGCTGGGACTATAGGCATGCGCCACCATGCCCAGGTAATTTTTTATTTTTTGTAGAGACGGGATCTCCCTATGTTGCCCAGGCTGTTCTTGAACTCCTCAAGTGGGAAGATCACTTGAGCCCAAGAGTTCAAGGCCAGCTTGGACAACAAAGCAAGACCCTATCTCTGCAAAAAAAATTCAGAAATTGGCTAGTTGTGGTAGCACATGCCTGTGGTCCCAGCTACTCAAGAGGCTGAAGCAGGAAGACTGCTTGAGCCAGGGAAGTCAAGGCTGTAGTGAGCTATATCGTGCCACTACACTCTAGCCTGGGTGACAGAACAAGACCCTGTCTCAAAAAAAAAAAAAAAAAAAAAAAAAGGCCAGGCAGGGGGCTCACACCTGTAATCCCAGCACTTTGGGAGGCCGAGGTGGGCGGATCACTTGAGGTCGGGAGTTCGAGACCAGCCTGACCAACATGGAGAAATCCCCTCTCTACTAAAAATACAAAATTAGCTGGGCATGGTGGCGCATGCCTGTAATCCCAGCTACTCGGGAGGCTGAGGCAGGAGAATCACTTGAACCCGGGAGGCGGAGGTTACAGTGAGCCAAGATCATACCATTGCACTCTACCGTGGGCAACAAGAGCAAAACTCCATCTCAAAAAAAAAAATTAAATTAAATTAAAAAAAATTCATCTACGCTGTTTACAGTTCAATATTATGAGCACATAATTTATCTAAACCCTTTATTGAATATTTTTATTATTTCCATCTTTCATTTTTATCATCAATATTCTTTAGTTCTTTAGTTATGCTTTTTTGGAGACAAGGTCCCCTTCTGTTGCCCAGGTTGGAGTTTAGTGGCACAATCATAGCTTACTACAGCCTTGAACTCCCGGGCTCAAGCAATCGTCTCACCTCAGCCTCCCCAGTAGCTAGGACTCCAGGCTCACGCCACCACACCTGGCTAATTTGTTTTTCCTTACTTTTTGTAGAGATAGGATCTTGCTATGTTGCCCAGACTGGTTTGAACCCCTAGATTCAAGCAATCCTCCTGTCTCAGATTCCCAAAGTGCTGAGATTACAGGTGTGAGCCACTGTTCCTGGCCTCTCTTTGGTTCCTGATTACAGCAGATTATTAGTTTGACTTGCCCAAGAAAGCCAAACTTCTGACTCTTTGAGTGGAATTTCTAATTTTCTTCCCAATTCAGGCTCATGCTCTGGCTCTATCTGGGCCCTAATTGCTTATTTATAAAAATTAACTAAAAATAATTCCTGTTGTATAGGATGTGCTGAAATTCTCTACTTGCTTTGAAGATGAGTAACTTAGCAAACTTGCAACACTCCTGTGAAAACTTACTGAGTTCTTCTTCAATTTTCTTCCAATTTTCAGCTTCCTGTGAGTTGGGATATGTCACCAGTAATCCGGCCAGGGCTTCCTTTACTTTTTGAATTTTTGGAGAATTCTGTTCCAATTCAGCCAGGAAGGCCTAGGAGAAAGAATGCCATGCATGCCCTGAGATTCTGGACAGGAAACGAAGCTGTGTGTGTGGTAGAAATGATTGGAAAACTGGGCGGTTATTATAGGTTCTACTAGGATCCTATCAATGACTTGTTTAGTGATGTTAAGATACTTAACCCTTCTATTTCAATTTTTATTTTAAACTGAAAATCTAAATGGCAGGATCTGAGTTTCTTTTATGTATAACACATCAGTAGAACTCAATAGTTCTACTATTGAGAATTATAGTAGAAGGAATTATTAATCCCAATAAACGAAAAATACCAAGATATGATGATAACACATCTTGAAGGAGATGAGATGCTATGCTCAATGGGAATATTAAAAGTTTTGGTGAAAATTTCCTACAGGATTTTCTACGGTCTTATATCTTCTGACATTTTTCCTAGTCTCACATGTGAATCTTAAGAATGAACTGTAATCAGTTATTTAGATCCTTCCAAGAACTGGAAAGGTACTTTGATAAGAATGGTTTGTCTTGCTTACAGCATCATATAGAAAATGAGATCCCATTCTCAATGAGCTAATGATTCTGGGGAGGGCTATTCTTTTTCTGCAAACATATCTGGTTTTGTTTCTGAATCTAACTTATAACAATTTCTAATTTCATAAGAAAATTCTCTAGGAGAGTTAAGGCATATTAATCATTTAGAAAGTCAAACACACTGCCCATCACAGCCTGGATTGTTGCCCATGTCTCTCTCTCAGATGCCTGGGCTTGGGCAGGAACACTGGTACAGCTGTCTCTTCCTCTTGGTGTTGGGAGGCAACTAATGTAAACACAATACCTTGTTAGATTCAGCTTGGGCTTTCACTGTTTCTGTCTTGGTTGGAGATGACATGGCATCCATGGATTTCAGGACTTCCTCTTTTGATTCTAGCCACTGCAGCACAGAGTTTGCCTCCTTCTGAACCTCCTCCATTCTGTTGAGGATAGCCTGAAGGCTTTCCTGGCGTTCATGAAGTATTCCACCCAGTTTCTCATACTTCAAGTTTACATCTGACATGTCACACTGGATCTCCGTCAGATCTAGTATCATAGAAACAGAAATCAGATTGGAGACAGCTCTTCAAGTATGTTCCTTGACTCCTCACTCCTAAATTACTTGCATCCCTCTTACTCCTTCTAGTGAACTAGAGATTATCTTCCTGCTAAATCATACAAAAGTTCCTGTTTATATACACAAAACAAAAGAGTTCTCATTAATCTGCATTCTAGTTTTGGCATTATATACTCAAATGTATACCTTAAAATGCTAAACATGGGAACAATAAAAGTGAACGGAGCAAAGTAAGAAATTAACCTTAGTGTACTACTGGGATTAAGGTGCTTGGAGTATTCTTCCATTCCTTCTTCTCCAAACTACAGAGAAGTCACCTAGCTTGGAGGCTGAGAGCTAGACTAGATTACCTCTAGTATAACTTCTTTAAAATTCAAAGATTAACATATATTTTCTTTGAGTTCTTTCCCTATTTGCCTTATCTAGTGATCCAGTCTATTGTTTTTCTACAATGCCTTTAGCTTCAGGGGCTGCCAACCTGTTTATGGTCTACAGCCAGAAAACCACAGTTGCTTCTCCCCAGATTTTTATCCTCACACCCATTCTGGCAGCAGTTCTTCCACACATATTGCAACATACACAGATGCAAACATGGACACTGTCCTAACACATCCAACAAAGAAGCACTGTTGAAATGGCATTCTCACCTTTGCAGGTGTGGTATCCGTTTACACTGCCTACAGAGCTTCCTACAGAGGGCAGTATGGAACCTGAGCAGAAGGACAGGGAGACAAACAGGGCAAGACCAACGTGTTAGGAATACATATAGGCACTGAATTTGTCCTTTGGCCCTCACTTTAAGCTTAGGTATCAGGAAGTTAACACAGCACAAGACAACATAGTCATGGAAAGAGACAAATTATTTTAGCTGCCAGGCAACAAAATGTCACTTGAGGACCTTAGCAGGAATGATTCTTAATCCTTTCTAGAGGAAATTCATATTCCCTTCTTATTAAATCTCCAACTTGAATTCTTTGGATGCTGCCCTAATTTTGTAAAGCAAGTACTGGTAAAATTATTAAGTCTAGAATGGTACTTGCCATATTTTGGAATGAGCTTTTATAATAAAGCCAGAAAGTTTTACCTTTTATATCAATGTCTTTCAATATAATAAAAATGAAAATAATTATCATTAAGGACATAAAAAGCAGCCTATTGTTTTTTCTTTTTCTTTTTTTTTTTTTTTTTTTTGAGACAGAGTCTCACTCTGTTGCCCAGACTAAAGTGCAGTGGCATGATCTCGGCTCACTGCAACTTCCACCTCCCGGGTTCAAGCAATTCTCCCATCTCAGCCTCCCAAATAGCTGGAATTACAGGCGCCTGCCACCAGGCCCGGCTAATTTTTGTATTTTTAGTAGAGACGGGGTTTTACCATGTTGATTAGGCTGGTCTCAAACTCCTGACCTGAGGTGATCTGCCTGCCTCGACCTCCCAAAGTAATGGGATTATAGGCATGAGTCACCGTGCCTGCCCTAAAAAGCAGCCTTCTTCTAATAAAGACATTAAAATGAACCCTTCATATATTGTTTCTAAAGGAAGATTATTTGCCTTTTCTTTCATAACCTCTTCTTGCTCACCCTTCCCCAAGAAAAAACAGAAATCCTAAGTGCCAATAAATATGGCTCATCAACATTCCCATAAATTGTGCTTTGGGCCTTTGGTTCTGTTTCTAATCACCATAATTTCACATACATTCTCCCCAAACTGATTCCTTATATTTCAGAAAAGTTTCCCAAGATAGTTGTAAAAACCAGGTGATGTAATGATAAATATTATACAGAAATCTGAAAAATATTCATAATGATACTTTAAAACGACAGAAAACTCTTGTATGCACTGACTTCACTTTACAAAAAGTTATGTGCAAGGTTATATTACGAAATAGTTGGCCGGGCGCGGTGGCTCACCCCTGTAATCCTAGCACTTTGGGAGGCTGAGGTGGGTGAACTGCCTGAGCTCAGGATGTTTGAGACCGGCCTGGGCAACGTGGTGAAATCCCATCTCTACTAAAATACAAAAAATTCGCTGGGTGTGGAGGCGGAAGCCTGTAGTCCCAGCTACTGGGGAGGCTGAGGCAGGAGAATCGCTTGAACTCAGAATTCAGTGAGGTTGCAGTGAGCCAAGATGGTGCCACTGTACTCCAGTCTGGGTGACAGAGCGAGACTCCGTCTCAAAACAAAAACAAAATAGTTGTGGGCCAGGTGTGATGGCCCACGCCTGTAATCCCAGCACTTTGGGAGGTTGGAAGTTTAAGACCAGCCTAGGCAACACAAGACCCTGTCTCTACAAAAAAATGTTAAAAAAAAAAAAAAAGTTAGGCATGACAGTGCACATTTGTGGTCCTAGCTACTTGGGAGCTTGAGGTGGAATGACTGCTTGGGCCTAGGAGGTCAAAGCTACAGTGAGCCATGATCACACTACTGTCCTCCAGCCTGGGTGACAGAGGAGACCCTGTCTCTAAAAACAAGGAAAAAAATTAGTTGAATTACGGTGGTGATTATAAAACTTTTAAATGTTAATGTTATTATATTTTCAATTAAAAAATACAAAATAGAAAAATCATATTCCATTGCAGTGTGGTGATGGAAAAAAAGAAACTGGACTAGTAGGTAGCAGAAGAAGGTACTAACCAAGGTTGTCACTAACTCAGTATGTGAGCCTTAATCTACAAACATAGTTTCTTCTGCAGGATTTAAAGATAATACAACCTACTCTGTTAACTCTCATGAGGTAACTGGGAAAAGATCATGAACCAATGTATGTCAAAGTACTTTATGAAACAGAGCTACATAAATGTAAGGTACTGAAATATATATGGTTTTTCAGAGTTGGAGGAGAACTTTGAGAGCACTCAGGATAGTAATTTTCAAACTGATTTTCAAAGCACCCTAGAAAGGTGCTTTAGGGATTGTGGTTAAAGTTTGGTTTAAATGTAATATTCACAGACATTTCTAACTACTTAGAAATGATAATAAAACACTCATGTTCAATTATGCTGAATTCTACACCTTAACCCATCAGATAAAACCAATTATGCTGCTTTTCCGGGGAAAGTAAAGCAGCTCCTGACACGTCTAAGCATCTATTTTAACTTATTTTTGAGTGTCCCTGATTGGAAAGGTGGTAGCTCTTCACCAGCAATTTATGATATTCAAACCTGTCCATGTTCACTCATGTATACTATACAAAGAAAAACATCTATAGCATATGTGTAATACATTAAATAACATGACCAAAAATATAACACAGCTTGCTCTCTGTATATCTACACAGTTCTCACTGGGACAGAATTGTGTAATAATATAATTCCTAACACTTCAAGTCAGTTGGACAGTTTTTGTCCTCAATGTCAGTCTTAAGTGTTTTCTATGTGTAAGAGCCCTCATTAAATATTCTTAGTGATTTAACTTTGATGGCCGGGCGTGGTGGCTCAAGCCTGTAATCCCAGCACTTTGGGAGGCCGAGGCGGGCGGATCACGAGGTCAGGAGATCGAGACCATCCTGGCTAACACGGTGAAACCCCGTCTCTACTAAAAATACAAAAAACTAGCCGGGCGCGGTGGCGGGCGCCTGTAGTCCCAGCTACTCGGGAGGCTGAGGTAGGAGAATGGCGTAAACCCGGGAGGCGGAGCTTGCAGTGAGCTGAGATCCGGCCACTGCACTCCAGCCTGGGTGACAGAGCAAGACTCCGTCTCAAAAAAAAAAAAAAAAAAAAAAAAGATTAATGCTATAAAATAACGTATAAGGGAAACTTATGCCAACAAAATGTTTTTTTTTTTTAATTTTTTATTATGTATTTATTTATTTTTTGAGACAGAGTCTTACTCTGTCTCCCAGGCTGGAGTGCAGTGGTGCAATCTCAGCTCACTGCGAGCTCCACCTCCCGGGTTCAAGCCATTCTCCTGCCTAAGACTCCTGAGTAGCTGGGACTACAGGTGCCCACCACCACGCCCAGCTAATTTTTTGTATTTTTAGTAGAGACACGGTTTCACCATGTTAGCCAGGATGGTCTCGATCTCCTTACCTCGTGATCCACCCACCTCAGCCTCCCAAAGTGCTGGGATTACAGGTGTGAGCCACCGAGCCTGGCCACCAACAAAATGTTTTGTTTTATGTAGTAGGGTTCTATATGAGATTTCTGTTTTTCTACATGAAATTTTTGTTCTATATGACATTTCTGTTTTTTCTCTCTTTTTTTTTTAAAATGATCTAGTCTAGGAGTCAGTAAACTATAGCTCACCAGCCAAATCTGGTCCTTCATCTGTTTCAACAAAGTTTTACTGGAATACAGCCACAACCACTCATTTCTATTAATGTATTGTCTTTGGCTGCTTTTGTTACAATGGCAGAGGTAGGTATACAACTGTGACAGAGACCATATACCCTGCAAGCCTAAAATATTTACTATCTGGCCCTTTATAGAAAAAGTTTGCTGACTCTGATCTAGTCACAAACGAATAAGTCAATGAACGTAGAGGTTGTTATATCACCAATTCCCTAAAATGTTGTCACTTGTGGATAGTTCCAAAATACCTTTTAACTTTAGAATACTATAGAAAAGTGCACATTTTCAGAAAGCAAATAAATTTTTCCTTTACTCGTTAAGTGACTATAGGAGTGCACTATCATAGACTAGTAATAAAATCTATGGGATCTCAATTAACAACGAGCAAGTGACTGAGAACTCATATGAGATTTTTTTTTTGTTTTTGAGACACAGTCTCGCCCTGTCACACAGGCTGGAGTACAGTGGCGCGATCTGGGCTCACTGCAACCTCTGCCTCCCGGGTTCAAGCAATTCTTCCCCATCGGCCTCCCGAGTAGCTAGGATTACAGGTGCAAGCCACCATGCTTGGCTAATTTTTGTATTTTAGTAGAGACGGAGTTTCACCATGTTGGCCAAGCTGGTCTCAAACTCCTGGCCTCACGTGATCCACCTGCCTGGGCCTCCCTAAGTGCTGTGATTACAGGCGTGAGCCACTGTGCCTGGCCTTCATATTAGATTTTGCTTCAAGGACTTAATTTGCAGTGAAAGATTATATACACATGTGAGCACAATCTTTGTACCCCCTTTGAAGTACTGATTTCTTTTTTTTTTTTTGAAATGGGGTCTTGGTCTGTCACCCAGGCTGGAGTACAGTGGCACAATCTCAGCTCACTGCAACCTCTGCCTCCCAGGTTCAAGTGATTCTCCTGCCTCAGCCTCCCGAATAGCTGGGATTACAGGCATGAGTCACCAGGCCTGGCTCATTTTTATATTTTTAGTTGAGACAAGGTTTCACCATGTTGGCCAGGCTGGTCTTGAACTCCCGACCTCAAGTGATCAGCCCACCTAGGCCTCCCAAAGTGCTGAGATTACAGGCATGAACCACCACGCCTGACCCAATACTGACTTCTAAATACTTGCTTCTTCCTGGTTATCACACTCATACCTATCCAGGCTTGCCCAATTTTTTTTTGAGACGGTGTCTTGCTCTGTCTGTTGCCCAGGCTAGAGTGCAGGCACCATCACGGCTCAATGAAACCTCCATCTACCAGGTTCAAGCTATTCTCATGTTTCAGACTCCCCAGTAGCTGGGACTATAGGCGCATACCACCATGCCTGGCTAATGTTTGTGTACTTTTTTTTGGAGACAGAGTCTCACTCTGTCTGTTGCCCAGGCTGGAGTACAGTGGCGTGATCTCGGCTCACTGCAAGCTCCACCTCCTGGGTTCACACCATTCTCCTGCCTCAGCCTCCTGAGTAGCTGGGACTACAGGCACCCGCCACCATGCCTGGCTAATTTTTTGTGTTTTTAGTAGAGACGGGGTTTCACCGTGTTAGCCAGGATGGTCTCAATCTCCTGACTTCGTGATCTACCCGCCTTGGCCTCCCAAAGTGCTGAGATTACTACAGGTGTGAGCCGCCGCACCCGGCCTAATTTTTGTATTTTTAGTAGAGACAGGGTTTCACCATGTTGCCAGGCTGGTTTTGATCTCCTGACTTCGTGCCTGGCCAGTACCCAAGTTTAAAGATGATGCATACTCATCCCATTTATACGTTCAAAAAAGGGAAATTCTCAAGATGAAAATCTTATTTTAATTATTCTATGTTCATTTGATAGTTCTTTTTTTTTGTTGAGATGGAGTCTCGCTCTGTCGCCCAGGCTGGAGTGCAGTGGCATGATCTTGGCTCACTGCAAGCTCTGCCTCCCAGAGTTCTTTTTTTTTTGAGAAGGAGTCTCGCTCTGTCGCCCAGGCTGGAGTGCAGTGCCGTGATCTGGGCTCACTGCAAGCTCTGTCTCCCAGGTTCACGCCATTCTCCTGCCTCAGCCTCCCGAGTAGCTGGGACTATGGGCACACACCGCCATGCCTGGCTACTTTTTTTCTTTTTTGTAGTTTTAGTAGAGAGTTTTGTAGTTTCACTGTGTTAGCCAGGATGGTCTCGATCTCTTGACCTTGTGACCCGCCCGCCTTGGCCTCCCAAAGTGCTGGGATTACAGGTGTGAGCCACCGTGCCCAGCCATCTGATAGTTCTAAGTGGGCCAACTAGTTCATTTACTTTTCCCATCATGGGAAGGAATTTTGCAAAATGAAGCAACGTTATATAGCAAAAGGGGTGACAGGTCAGGTTGCAGGGGAAGACTGCTTTGGGGATGCACTTTGTTTTCATACCCAACCTTGATTTTCACTTTAATTGTATAAAGAGGCATCTCCAAAGGCCAAAAGCAAAGAGCAATTTTTATTCACTATATTTTGAAGAGCCCGTACTCACCTGTCTTGCCTTGGGAATCAGGTGCTGTGATTTCCATGATGAGATTTTCTAAAGGAGTACCTTTGCAATTGATTTCTTCCACCAGAGTTCCCTTACTTGCCCAGTCATCTAGTAGACTCTGTTTAAAGAAGAAAATGGCTAAATGTAACATCTGGGGCTTTTTCCTCATAAGTAGAGACACCAATTCTATATATACTCCCTAGTGTTTTGACAAGCATTAAGAGACCATCCTTCTGATTTATTTATTCATTTATCAAACATCTATTGAATATTTACTATATGCCTGGTAGCATGCCAAGCACTGGGGTATAAAATAGAATTATGACACAATTTCTAAAATCAGAAGCTCAGATTATCAATTGCATTATAATGTGATAAATGCTATTATAGTATTATGGACAGTCTGTGAATTCCAAGAGCACAAGAGGAGTTCTATCTAATTCTGCCTAGAGGAAGGAAAGCTTTGAGTTAAGATAATGGCTGGGCATCGTGGTTCACGCCTGTAATCCCAGCACTTTGGGAGGCTGAGGCGGGCAGATTACTTGAGGTCAGGAGTACAAGACCAGACTGGCTGACATGGTGAAACCCTGTCTCTACTAAAAATACAAAAAAAAAATTAGCCAGGCATGGTGGCAGGCGCCTGTAATCCCAGTGACTCAGGGGGCTGTGATGGGAGAGTTGTTTGTACCTGGGAGGCAGAGGTTGCAGTGAGCTGAGATCGTGCCATGGCACCCCAGCCTGGACAACAGAGTGAGACTCTGTCTTTAAAAAAAAAAAAAAAGTAAGATAAGAGTTTGCCAGACTGACAAGAGGGAACAACATGCATACAAAGATGAAAAAAGAAATAGTAACTGGAGGATAAATGAGGAGCTAGATATTGAGATACAGAAAAATATATAGAATCATAGGCTATACTTTCCATTTATTAAGGAAACTTTATATTGGGTTTGAAATCAAAGATCCAACTACCATAGAAATCCATTAGGAAACAATGGCATTTGCTCTAAGACAAAAGTACCACATCATGTTAAGTCTCCAAGATGTCTCCTGCCATAGTTGTAGGATTTTACTCCTTTCAGAGCAAGGACACCATTCTAGCCTTCAATGCCCTCCTCCATACTGAATATCCCTGACAATCTACTTAGTTTGCTTTTGACTTTAAGCTGCAGAGAAAGGCACAGAGCCCTACTCATATTGCCTAATTTCAAAATGACCCTTGGTCACTGCTTGTCAGTTCCTTAACTAATCACTCTTTTTTTTTTTTTTTTTTTTTGAGACAGAGTCTCACTCTCTGTCGCCCAGGCTGCAGTACAGTGCGCCATCTCAGCTCACTGCAACCTCCGCCTCCCCAGTTCAAGCAATTCTTTGCCTCAGCCTCTCAAGTAGCTGGAATTACAAGTGCCCGCCACCATGCCCAGCTAATTTTTTATTTTTAGTAGAGATGGGGTTTCACCATCTTGGCTAGGCTGATCTTGAATTCCTGACCTTGTGATCCACCCACCTCGGCCTCCCAAAGTGCTGGGATTACAGGCGTGAGCCACTGCGCCTGGCCATTAATCACTCTTGATTCTGAAGAGCCACAGTCCCCAAACTGTGGCTTGACTCACAGAATATTTTACATTTTTGAGGAAAATACAGTTGTGACATCTGTTGAACACCATATGAACAACTACTAAGTTCTTTGGACCTAACTTCTTAGCAAGTAGAAGTATTAGGAGTTTTTTTGTTTTGTTTCTTTTTTTTTTTGGCCTTGAGGTGCCATGACAAATTTCTTAAAACACCATGGGCACTGTGAAACAAAAATGTTGGGAAAGCTCTGTCCTAGGGAATTCCCAACAGCAAACACTCCTGGCACCAGCTCTGTGAAAGCAATCAAACTATTCTCTTTCATCTGCTCAAGATAAAGTGTGCTTTACTGAGAAAATAAGCATAAGTGCATGACAGTTAGAGGCATATTTGGCTTATTTCAACAAAAGGAAGACTCAGGTTAGAGGTATAAGCAGAGGCTGGATGATTACGGATCAAAGACAGTACAGAAGGGATTTTGCAGGGAATGGGAGGAAGGTTGGTCCCATCCTTGAAGGTACCTTCCAACCATCTGATTCTAGCTTTTCCTTTATTAGCTGAAGTAGTACTAGTTCTTCTATCCTCAATTTCCTGATAATATTATCTGGTTACTTGCTCAAATATATTTGTCTAATTCTCAAACATACAAAGAGAGTGTATGCTTCTCAAAGACTGTATGGGTAGATTGTTACCACATAAAGAAAACGGAGGAATTTCTGTTCTGATGCAGAGTGACAACTTGGATTTCTCATACATTTCCCCACCACAGCTGGAGGCCAGTTAATACAAGTATTCAAACCAGTGCCTAGTCCAATTCTTGGAGTCCCTTTGTTCACCTACCTTCAGGTGTTCAATCTGCTTTTCTAACTCTTTAGCACTCATAGAAGTTTCTGTAGGTGGAATACTCCCTTCAGTTTCTTTCAGCCATTTCTGGAAGGTCCTGACCAGTTTCCGGAATTCATCCAACTGTTCCTGGCAAGATGATGCATCTTTCTCTCTGTCAATGAAGCAGTTTTGTTACTTGCCAGACTGTTTTATAAAGTCAACTTGAGCTAAGACTAGCTCATTCTGTGACTCCAGACATCAGTTACCTAACATGGCCTTTCTTTCTCATAATCTTTTCCACAGCAGGTTTGGCTGAACAACCACATATAATGTTAAAGAGTACCAAACTCAGGAATATATTGCCCTTGTTTGGACATTTCTGAGGAAAGAGGTCTTCAATCTTACTCCAGGCTAAAGTGAAAGTGAGAAAAACTAAAGGGAGGCTGCTATTTAGGTACTGTGATACAATGGAAAGAATGCAGTCTTTGGATCTCGATTCCAGCCATGCTACATTTTAGCTATTTGACTCTTTCAAGGACCAATTCAAATGCTGATTGCTTTAGCAAGGAAGGTGCTGAAACTGAGGCTCACAGAAGTTAGGTGATTAGTTCTAGATTAATCACGCCAATGAATAAACTAAATCAAAAGGAAAGTTTTGGAAATGGCCATATTTATCAGACATATGTCAATTCAGAAATCCTGATTCCTCATACAGTAAAAAGGCCCTCAGTATAGGGGAAGAAAAACAAAAGCTTTCTTCACCTTTGTCCCCATCCTCTCCATTAGATAACCTGCTGCTAATAATGTTGGTTTGAGCGACTCTTTTCTTCTAATCACTAAGGCAGTTATCTGCTAAATCAAGAACATGTTTATGGCTAAACTGAGATAAGAAGTCTTGTTCATGTTCTTAAATCCATGTGAGGCTGTCCAGTGGGGAACCATGGCTTTTCAACAGGGACCAAAATCAGCCAGCCTTGTCATATATTCCCTTGTTTGCCTTGAAAGAAGAATCCAGATACTCCTCTAAAACAGCAACTTAAATGTGGTCAAAACAAGCAGCAGGGCTGGGCATGGTGTATAATCCTACCCAGCATGTTGGGAGGCCAAGGCAGTAGGATCTATGAGGCCAGGAGCTCACAACTAGCCTGGTCAACATAGCAAGACCCTGTATCTTAAAAAAAAAAAAAAAAAAAAGCCAGGGGAGTGCCAACATAACCCTTAATTATGTCTAGGAAGTCTCTTCCAATTTTTCTCTTCTTTCAAAATTATTCTATAATCTTACTTGCTGCCTCAAATTTGTTCTGTTTGGTCCAAGTGGCCTAGGCTTCTGATCACAAAGAGAAGGAACTCATCCCTATTTTCTGTTAGCTACTATTAGAAAAACCACTAAGTGACTGGGTGCGGTGGCTCACGCCTGTAATCCCAGCACTTTGGGAGGCTGAGGCGGGTTGATCACCTGAGGTCAGGAGTTCGAGACCAGCCTGGCCAAAGTGGTGAAACCCTGTCTCTACTAAAAATGCAAAAATTAGCTGGGCATGGTGGTGGGCACCTGTAATCCTAGCCATTCAGGAAGCTGAGGTAGAAGAATTGCTTGAACCCAAGAGATGGAGGTTGTAGTGAGCCGAGATAGCACCACTGCACTCCAGCCTGGGTGACAGTGAGACTCCATCTCAGAAAAAAAAAAAAAGAAAAGAAAAAAGACAAACTACTAAGCATCAAGTAGATTAGGTAGCTTTGCCTAAAAAATGGCACTTTTCACCCTCCTATGACTCAGTAGTAGTTTTAGATGCCATCTTTTCTGGTAAAGGAAGAAAAGAGAAAAGATCATTTCACTCCATAACAAGAAAAAATAGTTCCCCAATGCTGACCAACACAAGTGATAACTCACCTCTCTTTAACTGTCTTCTGTAGCTCTGTGAAGTCTTTTCTGAGGTTCTGTACCCTGTCCTGATGCTGGGACAGGTCCAGTGCAAAGCCACAAGAGCTCAGTTCAGTGACCAGGTGCTCAAGAGTATCTAGGTTCTCCTGTTGGTCTTCCATTTCCAAATTGAGTTCCTGTCAAGCAAACAAGGATATGTATTAAATCCTCTAATCCTTATAAATATACTCTAAAAAGAAGGAAAGAGGTATGCTTGCCAGGTCAAATGCTAGATCAAAACAATAAATATGTAACTCAGTGAAAAGTTTAAAAACAAAACTAAACTTTTTTTTTTCTTTTGAGACAAGAGTTTCACTCGTGTCACCCAGGCTGGAGTGCAATGGCACTATCTTGGCTCACTGCAACCTCCACCTCCCAGGTTCAAGCGATTCTTCTGCCTCAGTATTGCAAGCAGCTGGGATTACAGGCTCCTGCCACCATGCCTGGCTAATTTTTTTTGTATTAAAAAGCCCAATTTAAAAAATCTGATAGGCCGGGCACGGTGGTTCAAGCCTGTAATCCCAGCACTTTGGGAGGCTGAGACGGGCGGATCATGAGGTCAGGAGATCGAGACCATCCTGGCTAACAGGGGGAAACCCCGTCTCTACTAAAAAAATACAAAAAACTAGCCGGGCAAGGTGGCGGGCGCCTGTAGTCCCAGCTACTCAGGAGGCTGAGGCAGGAGAATGGCATGAACCCAGGAGGTGGAGCTTGCAGTGAGCTGAGATCCGGCCACTGCACTCCAGCCTGGGTGACAGAGTGAGACTCTGTCTCAAAAAAAAAAAAAAAAAAAAAAAAAAAAATCTGATAAATATGTAGGACATCTTCAATTCACTGGAGAGTGGGTAGGAATTACAAAACAGTCTTGTCTCCTCTAAACAAATGTTCAAAGACTTGGGAGGTACCATGACAGGATGTAAAGAATGAAAGTTTTAGGAGTCAAATAGACCTGATATTCAATCACACTTTGCCACTTACTAACTTGTGATCTTAAGCTACTAAACTACTCTAAGCTTCATGGTCTCTTGTATAAAATGGGGGTAAACACACTATCTCCACTATTATTTAACATTGTACTTAAGATATCAGCCAGGCGCAGTGGCACACGCCTATAATCCCCAGAACTTTTGGGGGCCAAGGTAGGTGGATCACTTTAAGCCCACGAGTTCAAGACCACCCTGGGCAACATGGCAAAACTCCATCTCTATTTTTTTTTTTTTTTTTTTGAGACAAAGTCTGGCTCTGTTGCCCAGGCTGGAGTGCAGTGGCGCTATCTCAGCTCACTGCAACCTCCGCCTCCCGGGTTCACACCATTCTCCTGCCTCAGCCTCTCGAGTAGCTGGGACTACAGGCACCCGCCACCACGCCCGGCTAATTTTTTGTGTTTTTAGTAGAAACGGGGTTTCACCATGTTCGCCAGGGTGGTTTCTATCACCTGACCTTGTGATCCACCCGCCTCGGCCTCCCAAAGTGCTGGGATTACAGGCATGAGCCACCGTGCCCGGCCTCCATCTCTATTTTTTTAAAAAAAGTTAATTTAATAATTAAAAAAGCCAATACAATTAAGAGAAAACAATCTGTGGAATAAGAATTGAAAAAGAAGAGATAAAACTGTATTTGTAGATTACATGAAAGTATATTTGTAGGGCCAGGCACAGTGGCTCACACCTGTAATCCCAGCACTTTGGAAGGCCAAGGCAGGCTGATCACTTGAGGTCAGGAGTTTGAGACCAGACTGGCCAACGTGGTGAAACCCCGTCTCCACTAAAATTACAAAAATTAGCCAGGCATGATGGCACACTCCTGTAGTCCCAGCTGCTTGGGAGGCTAAGGCAGAAGAATCACTTCAATTTGGGAGGAGGAGGTTGCAGTGAGCCAAGATTGTGCCACTGCATTCCAGCCTGGGCAACAGAGTAAGACTCTGTCTCAAAAAAAAAAAAAAAAAAAAGGCCAAGCGTGGTGGCTCATTCTTGTAATCCTAGCACTTTGGGAGGCTGAGGCGGGAGGATCACTTGAGTTCAGGAGTTCAAGACCAGTCTGGCCAACGTGGGTGAAACCTGTCGCTACTAAAAACACAAAAATTAGCTGGAAATTGCTTAAACCCAGGAGGTGGAGATTGCAGTGAGCCGAGATTGTGCCACAGCACTCCAGCCTGGGTAACACAGCAAGTCTCTGTCTCAAAAAAAAAAAAAAAAAAAAAAAGGTGTATTTGTAAAACCCAAGATAATCAACGATACAATGAAATCAAACAACGAGGAAGTTAAATAAGGTAGTAGGATATAAAATTAACACACAAAAATCAATAATGAAAACTTCAACTTACAATAGCAAGACAAAAGGCTCAATCTTTGTAATCAACTAACAAGAAACATAAAATCTAAATTTTAAAACATTTCTGAAGTTGGGTACAGTGGCTCTTGCTTGTAATCCCAGTTGCTGGGGAGGCTGAGACCCCTGATAATCACTTGAGCCCAAGAGTTGAGGCTGTAGTGAGCTATGATCATGCTACTGAACTCCAGCCTGGGCAACAGAGCAGGACCCCATCTCAAAACAAAAAAGAACAAAAAAATCAAAAACACTCCTGAAAAACACAAAAGCAGATCTGACTAGATGGAAACACATCCATAAAGTGTATGCATATGTATTTGCCTATGTATGTATATGCGTTTGTGTGAATAAATACATTTAGTGTGACCCAAATAAAAAATGCTAACAAGTTTTTTTCTCTAGAACTAATAAAGGTGATTCCTAAATTCACATAGAAAAATAAATGCGCAACTATACCTATGAAAAATTTTGCAAGAAAAAAAATGAGGAGGACTAGCTCTCTACCACACATTAAAATATACCATAAAGCCTCTATAATTAAAATAGTATGCTCTGGTACACGAATAGAAAGACGAGCAGTGAGCTGAGATCACACCACTGCACCCCAGCCTGGGTGACAGAACAAGACCCCATTCTTAAAAAAACAAAAAAGAAAGAAAAAAAAGAAAATCCAGAAATAGACTCAAAGACATATAAAAATTGGGTATATGATGAAGATGGTTTCTTAAGTTTGGGGAAAAGATGGACTTTTCAAATAAATGTTACAGGTTGGATATCCTTTATGCTTGGGACCAGAAGTGTTTTGAATTCCAGACTCTTCCAGATTTTGGAATATTTGCATTATACTTAGCAGCTGAGCATCCCTAATCTGAAGCTCTGAAATCTGAAGTGCTCCAATGAGTCTTTCCTTTGAGCATGACCTCTGAGTGTCACGTCAGCTCTCAAAAAGTTTCATTTTGGGCCGGGCAAACACCTGTAATCCCAGCACTTTGGGAGGCCGAGGCAGGTGGATCACAAGGTCAGGAGATCGTAGCCATCCTGGTTAACCTGGTGAAACCCCATCTACTAAAAATACAAAAAGAAATTAGCCGGGCATGGTGGTGGGCACCTGTAGTCCCAGCTACTTGGGAGGCTGAGGCAGGAGAATGGCATGAACCCGGGAGACGGAGCTTGCAGTGAGCTGAGATCATGCCACTGCACTCCGGCCTAGGCGACAGAGCAAGACTCCGCCTCAAAAAAAAAAAAAAAAGTTTCAGATTTTGGAGCATTTCAAATTTTGGATTAGGGACACTCAACTTGTATTATGAACAACTAGACAGACATGATACAAAAAGATAAACATGATTCGTACTTCAGAATAAGCTTAAATTGTTAAAAGATTCAAATGTAAAAAAAATTAAAACAAGTTTTGGAACAAAGCATGAATAATTTTTTTCATAACCTGGGTGTGACAAAAATCTTTCAAACTTTGACTAAAAATACATATTTAATAAAATACTGATAAAATCTTCTGTTTAGAACAAAAATTCCACATTTACATGTCAAAAAACACCGTAAGTCAAAAGCACAAACTGGGAAACAATATTTCTAATGTATCACAGATAAAGAATTAATCTCTCTAATATATAAGAACTCTAAAAAAATTTTTAAAACTCGAAAACTTGAGAGAAGACCAAAAATCTTGACCAAAAAAGGACAAAATGCATGAACAGATAGTTCACAAATAAATGACTCTTAAATGTAAAAATATACTCAACCTCGCTTATAAGAGAAATAAAAATTAAAACCACATTCACATACCATGTTTTACCAATCACACCAGAAAAAATTTAAAAGCTTGGTAATAAATTTTGTTGGTGAGGCTGTAGGGGAAACAGGTACTCTAATACACTGCTAGTGGGAATGCGAAGCGGTGAAATCTCAAAGGAGGGGAATCTGGCTATTTCTAACAAAACTACACATGTATTTACCCTTTAATGCAACAACTCCACTCTAGGAACTTACTCTGATAGGAAAAAATACACACAGTTATTCAGTTGTAATAGCACAATTTCGGAAACAACAACTGAAATGTCCACACATGTAAGTCTTGGTGGCCAGGTGTGGTGGCTCATGCGTGTAATCCCTCTGGGAGGCCGAGGCAGGCAGATCACCTGAGGTCAGGAGTTGGAGATCAGCCTGGCCAACATGGTGAAACCCCATCTCTAATAAAAATACAAAAAAACTATCCAGACATGGTGACAGGCACCTATAATCCCAGCTTCTTGGGAGGCGAAGGCAGGAGAATCGCTTGAACCCGGGAGGTGGAGGTTGAGGTTACAGTGAGACAAGATCGTGCCACTGCACTTCAGTCTGGGCTACAGGGCACAGAGTAAGACTCTGTCTCAAAAAAAAAAAAAAAAAAAGGAGTCTTGTTGATTAAACTATAATTCTTCTACACAATGAATGTATGGTTTAAAAAATGAAGATGTCTGTGAATCCATATTAAGTGATTTCCAAGACATATTAAGTAAAAAAGCAAAGGATTACGTAATATACCCTTCTTTTTTGTAAGGAAGAATGGGAAATAAGAATGTGTGTGTATGTTCATTTTGGTAAAGAGAAATAGAAAAAAATAAACCTAAAATGTGTTACTTTGGGGATGGGTGAAAATGGGACGGAAGAGACAGGAAGGACACTGAGACTGTATCCTTATTCACTTCCTATACCTTGAGTATAACTTTTTGAATAGTTTTAACTTTTGAGCTATGTTAATGCTTTACATATTTAAAAATAAGTTTAATCAACAAAGATAGAAAAATAAAGTCCTAAAGTTGAATACAAATAGAAACAAATCTAATTATATATGAAATTACAGAAAAAATAATTCAGGTAATTTTTGAATACAGTACACAGTGGGTCATAGGCTAAGGACTAAAACAAATCCAAAGAAATATTCAATTTTATTTAGCAGGCTTGTTATTGGTAGAAATACTAGTGTAATTCTAAAACTATCTTATATTTATTGTAGAATAAAACAAGTAAATATATTGAAGTTGTTGCTGGGAACTAGGGTTCTCCCTACAGGAAAGGAAGATACAAATGTGGAAAGGAGGAAGATTCCTATGGTATTGAGTTGAAACTAGACTGTCAGTATGATTTTATGATATAAAAAACATACACATATATTTCCTAACACTATCTATTAAAAAGAACTAAAGTAGTGACACTCCAGTAGCTCACCTAGTGTCCAGATTTGGTTTCTAAATATCATTCCCCACTATAAGTGGGGCTCCTTGGATAAATAGCTGATTTCAGATAGGGGACAAGGAAATACATTATTGTGCCACAAATACCTTAAGTGCCAAAAGTGCTCTTATGCTGAGGAAGACATGTCAAAAAGCCACAGGAAAAAAAGTTTTATCTGTTCCCATTTGTACTTTCAATTTAGTACATGTCTGCTGTAACTTACTTGAATATAAAATATAGCAATGTGAAATTATTAAAAAAAAAAAAAAGCCACAGGAGACAGCTTGAAGGGGCTCCCACCGACCACATTTGGGAAAACGTTAAGTATCATAAAGAATAATGGTAATACCAAATATAGAAGCCCATAATGATACTCTTATATTTTTATAACAGAGGGAAAACAATTAGCAACTGGTGAATCTAGATGAAGAGTATGCTGGTGTTTAATGGACCATTCCTTCTGCTTTTCTGTAAAGTTCGAAATCATTCAAAGCAAAAAGGAGAGCAAACAAAACCAAACAATGAGATTCTACTTTAATACAGAAAATGTTAGAAAGCTGGAAAAAGCGAAGGCAGCAATGCAGAGATATAGGAATGCTGAAGTACTACGGGTGGGAATGTGTGCTGGTACAGCCATTCTGGAGCTTAAATTGGGCACTACTGAGTCAAATTAAATTAATATATGCATATACTATGACTTGGCAATTCTACTTCTGGGTATATATCTGCGGTAGTTGTTAATACTTTTTACCAAATATTTCTAGCTTTGCACCTTCTAGGTACGTGGTGAGATTACATTTCCTCACCCTCTTGAAAGGTATAGGTGGTTTTGTGGAAAGTGATTTGACTAATAAAATGTAGATAGATAAAATACGCCCTTTTCCCACTGAAGCAGTAATCATGAAAGCTTTTATCAGGATGAAATCTCCATCAATCTGCATCCCTTGAGTGACTATGATGAGCTGAGTGGCTCCGCTGATTTGGGGTGAACATGTAATAAGAGTGAAAAATAAATATTGACTGTATTGGTTAAAAAATGGACAAATGATACCTAGTTTACAGGATCACTGTAATAATTCCCAAAGATAATGCAGGTAAGGTTTCCAGTATACTGACTGACGTAGTATGTGCTCAGTAAATGCTGGTTCTCTCCTGGCCCTTCTCTCCCCTTTATTCTGCTAACATGGCAGATATATCCTCACCTGGATCTGTTGGAAGAAACGTGTAATATCTTGATCTGGCTGATTTCCAGAGGCCAGCATCCGACTTTTGTTTTCCATGAATTGCTGCAGCTTACCAGAGAGATGTTCAAACATCTCTGCCTGGGGCAGAAGCTTCTTTAGGGAGCTCTCCTTTTCTTGCTGCTGTAAACAGAGCTGTTCGAACCGCTGGCTCACCTCTGCCAGTTTGCCCTGCAGCACTGCTGCTGTGGTACTGTCTGCTGTCTCCATGAATCGGGTCACCATCTCACGGGTGGCCTCCAAGCTGCTCTTTTGCCGAGCAATGTCCTGCTTCAATTTCTGTCATGAAGAACACGTCTGTCAGCTCTTGGCTCACTTATTCCAGGACATCTGAGCCACAAACTAATAACTATATGCTATCTCACAAGGGGGACTGGAGGACTGCAACTGAGCCTTCAGAAGACCACACATCTCATCCCCTTAGCTCTCCACTCCTTCTACCACATGACTTTGCTATCACCACTTTCATTCCAGCTCAACTGGGTAGAGATATCTTTACATGGATTAGTTATCATTTCTAAATCTTATTAGATGATTCGCAGATGTTAAGTTCTCTCTTGTTACTTTTTTAACATTATATAATGATGGCACATAGCAAACATACCCTCTACGCTAGCTCTTGGGACACAGGTCTTACCATATTTGTGGCTAAGGCTTCCTGGATGACTCCTGATGAGAGTGATACCACCTGCTTCCCTTCCAGGTTTTGTTCAACTTCCCCAATAGACTGTGACAGGCTCTCCAGGCTTTCCTGGACACTCTGAGATTGGGCAATTGCTTTCTGCAGCAGAGAAGATCGCTCAGCCAGGCTATAGGAGAGGCTTTGGAAGTGGCTGAGTATGGAATCTGAAAAATCAGGCCATGAAAAGAAAGAGTGGAAACAGTTTTTGTATTATGCTTTTAAAGACTGGATTTAAATTGCTCATTTAAAATCTTTACTATTATCAATTTTTTTATAGGGATGTAGTCTCAATATGTGGCCCATGCTGGTCTTGAACTCCTGGCCTCAAGCAATCTTCCTGCTTCAGCCTCCTAAAGTGCCTGGATTACAGGCATGAGCCACCATGCCCAGTCCTACATTCAACATAGTAATTGTAATAATAATTGACATTAAGACCAATGGAAGAAATAAGCTTGAAATGAATTAGTATTAGAGCCAAGTTCAATAAGCATTATTTATTTACCGCATACAAAAAACCAGAAATTGTACTAGATGCTGAGGACTAAAGATATTTAAGTATCTTATCTGACATCTACAACTTAAAGACTTTGAAACAGAGCATAGGCAGAGGAAGACACATCATAATCAATGATAAAAATAAAATCTTAAGTGGTATATTAATACTAGAAGTACTGTCCTTGAGAAGCCCAGAAGGAAGAATAATTATCTTTCGTTTCTTTTAAGGAGTGGAATGGCTAAGTCAAGCTATTTAACATATGCATTACCTCACATACTTATCAGTTTTTTATGGTGAAAACACTTACAATATACACTCGTAGCAATTTTCAAGCATACGATATATATATATATATATATATATATATATATATATATATATTTTTTTTTTTTTTTTTTTTGAGACAGAGTCTTGCTCTGTTGCCCAGGCTGGAGTGCAGTGGTGCAATCTCAGCTCACTGCAAGCTCCACCTCCCGGGCTCACGCTATTCTCCTGCCTCAGCCTCCGGAGTAGCTGGGATTACAGGTGCCTGCCACCATGCCCGGCTAATTTTTTTTATTTTTTGTATTTTCAGTAGAGACGGGGTTTCACCTTGTAGGCCAGGATGGTCTCAATCTCCTGACCTTGTGGTCCACCTGCCTCGGCCTCTCAAAGTGCTAGGATTACAGGCGTGAGCCACCACGCCCGGCCTGTATACGATATACTGTTATTAACTAAAGTCACCATGATATACTCTTGGCTACATCTTGAAGCATAGGCAAGATTTCACCATGCTTTGTAAGCATCCAATAAATGTTAGCAGCTAAGCAATAGGAAAAACTTCAGGGGTAATACAATGTAAGTGGTTTACTTGGGAAAGAAGACGTAGGTGTGGCTAGAAGATAGATGCCTGGGGAAAAGGGACTGAAGCCAGATTGTGAAGGTCCTTCAATGGTGCAAGAAGAAAGTTCATTAGAGGATGAGCTCTTTGATGACAATCTATGTCTATTCATGTTTACATTCTCAGCCTCTAGCCTGGCACCACAGATATTTGCACAACACAATGTGACATATTGCAGAACAGAGGCACATACTAGGAATTAAGGGAGTACTATTATACTGTTGCTGCTTTATACCTGTAGTTTCTTGAACATGCTTGTGGTCTGGGGCTGGCTCCCCTTCAATTTCCATTATGTCACGAGCTACTTTTTGGAGTTTTTCCACAGGTACTTGGTGCTCAGCCAATTCCTCCTGCAACTGCTGCTTGTCCATGAAAAAAACAAACAAACAAAAAAACCATCTAAGTAAGTAATCAAAGCTGATTCTAGGAATTCGGAGCTACTGAACAGCTTTACAGAAAAATTCTAAGTTTACCCATAGCCATAAATATTAGAAGCAAGTATTTAGCACTCAGATCTCGTCCAAGGCATCCCAACTACTGCCTTTATTTTATGTAAGCATTTGCTTTATTTTGGGGTACTTTACGCCATGGAATACAAGGTCTTGACACCACAACACAGCCTGTATCCTGACTTACCTTTGTTGTTGCAAGCTGCTGCTGGAGAACTCCAGGGTCGGAGGCAACTGTATCTGAGAGGAGCTTCCCCACATTGGCCTCACAAGTCTGCATCCAGGCCTGCAGGCTGTCAGCACTGTTTTGGAATTGATGATACTGGCCTAACAGCATATTCAGGTGAAATCCTAATCGTGTACACTGTGCCAAAGAAAGGAAGGTAAGCAGACTTAAGCAAGGTCAGGCCAAAGGCAGCAGTTGCCCAAAGAAAGAGGCCTGGCTTTGTTACAGAGAACTCACTGTAACTTCAGATAAGGGTAGTGCCAGAACACATGGATAGATGGGTAGCAATGATCTATAAGTGTGGGTCCCCACAGTTTGCTCCATATTATTCACCTCGACCTTCTTACATATCCAGGAAAATTTAATGAGATATATGACAAGGCCCCAAAGAAATGAATAGCAGGTTGCAGACAAAGGTAGGGGTTAAGAAGTGCAAAGAGTGTTTTTTCTTGGGGATTAGAAGTGTTGGCAGAAGGCATAAGACAGGTAAGAAGAGCTGACTGGATTCTAAACTTTAGAAGAAAAGAGGAAGTTCTTTAGATAGGAAGGAAGGTAAGGATATACCCTACATGCTCTGTCCAGAAATAAAAACTGTGCAGTTGGTTTAAATTTCCCCTGTGTGCTATGTCTCTTGGGAGCCCAAGTCTGCTGGTCAGGATACAGGAAGGTGAATACTTCCACCTTCATCATCAGTGTGACATACTCCTGCCAGTGCTAGGTATTAGGTATTAGCTAGCTATTAGGCCTTTGGGCTAATACCTATGTATGTTCCATTTTTTGCATTGTTTGTGAAGACCTTCTGCCCATGGTTCAAGTATAAATCAGCTCTCCTACTGTGTCCTGGGGTTCTTATTCTGAGCTCCAGACACTACCTACATTGTGTGAAGGCTGCCATGATTGTTTCACAAGGATGCCAGGAACTGCCCCCTTACCTCTGAGTGGAGAGCAGTGTACCTTTCTGTTGCATCCTTCAACTTGTCCTTTACTAAGTTTCCAATTTCTGATGGTTCTTTGCCTTCCTTAAAACTGTTTTCCGTGTCCAAGACTTTCTGTCCTGAGATAGTCACAAATCTCAAGTCTCCTTTGTGGGAAATGACATCCTCTGAGAAGCTTCCTTGCCGCTTCAGCAGGGAGGGAAGGGCCTCGGGGCTGCTGCCTCCTTTATGCATGTTCTCCAGCTCTTTCTCAGATCGTTCCAACCAGCTTTCAAACTCTCTATGATCCTGTAGAAATTTCTGCAACTCATCCTGAAGTGTCTGCACCTGCTTCAGTTCTGCCTCTGATTGGGCCAGGGAAGTAGAATATTGCTCCTTTAGCTCTCCTAGCTTTTCTTGCAGCATCTGTTGTTCCTCAGGTGTGAGATTGTGGCCATGCTGATCCAGGAAGGCCTGAGCTGACTGGGTGGCCAGAATGAAATGTTGCTGCTGGGACAGCAATTCTTGGTGACGGGCCTGGTAAAGAAAAAAAAAAAATCCCCCCAAACAAAGGACAATCAGTAGGGAATCCACAATAATTTGAGGTATACAAGATTGGACTGCATACTCCATGTGAGGTCTGCTCACATTAAGCCTTGGTCTTTTCACCCACATTACTGTCAAGCCATACACCTCTCTCAGCTTTGCTGCATCTCACATTTTTCCGTTAACTTCATTTTATTCAATTCAGCCCCTTGTTTTAGGTATAGCCCTTTAATTTAGATGCTGACTCTTAAATTTTACTTATAATCTTTAAGGACCATCTACATATAAGCTAGAAGTAGGGAGAGGTCTCTCTCTCTACTCAATAGACCACTTTTCCAGCTGCTCAGAAATCATCAATATCAGTCACTCTCTAAATAGTACGCCACATGCCAATCCCCTCTGAAATGACATGTATAGGACTTTATGGTTTTCAAAGAGATTTTACATGTATTATCTCATTTGCTTTGTGGCACAACCTATAATATAGTTAGACAATATAATACCCATATTAAGAATAAGTGAATACCAGCTGGGTGCGGTGGCTCACGCCTGTAATCCCAGAACTTTGGGAGGCCGAGGCAGGCAGATCATCTGAGGTCGGGAGTTCAAGACCAGCCTGACCAAACATGGTGAAACCCCATCTCTACCAAAAATACGTAATTAGCTGGGTGTGGTGGTGCGTGCCTGTAGTCCTAGCTACTCGGGAGGCTGAGGCAGGAGAATCCCTTGAACCCAGGAGGCGGAGGTTGCAGTGAGCAAGCAAGATCATGCCATTGCACTCCAGCCTAGGCAACAAGAGTGAAACTCCATCTCGAAAAAAAAAAAAAGGATTAACTGAATACCAAAAAGACATTATATATCTTGACTAAGGTCATGCGGTTTGTTAAGGAACAGAACTGCAACTCAAACCTGACTCTCTTAGCTAAACTAGACAAATGGACAACTAATAATCATCTACATAAGTGGAAGGGTAGCTGAATAAATCATACATACGACAATATAAAAATTGCAAGTTTGGCCAGGCTCATGCCTGTAATCCTAGAACTTTGGGAGGCCAAGGCGGGTGGATCACGAGGTCAAGAGTTCGAGACCATGCTGGCCAATGTGGTGAAACTCCGTCTCTACTAAAAATACAAAAATTAGCTAGGCATGGTGGCACGTGCCTGTAATCCCAGCTACTTGGGAGGCTGAGGCAGGAGAATTGCTTGAACCTGGGAGGCAGAGGTTGCAGTGAGCCGAGATCGTGCCACTGCACTCCAGCCTGGCAACGGACTGAGACTCTGTCTCAAAAAAAAAAATGCAAGTTCTTAACTGTCACTCATGTGTCCATGAAGACTGTCCCTACTAGGAAAGGCCATGGAAAATTAATTCGATAATTAGAAAGTAAACTGTATTTCTGGGTAATAATAAGTAATTTGTACTTTCTATTTGTATGTACTTTGTCTATGTGCTTATACACAGACCTTCTTTCTATTCCAACGGAATATGAGTTCTTTGAGGAGTTGTGAGTTTCTGTTTTGAAACATAAGATGTTCTTCCCGAGTCTAGAAGACAGTGGGAGTTGTCAGTATTCCTGACTACCTATACTGTTTATGCCACTACTTAGAGAAGGACTACTGATCATCGTCTACTTTTAGCCTGTATCAACAGCAACCTGATCGCCTCAGCTTCCCACATCATTTCAAGAAAACTGAGTGACTAGGAGGTTGATGCAGGAGTATCACTGAAGCTAGGATTTTGACACCAGCCTGAGCAACAACATAGCAAGACTGTCTCTTAAAAAAAAAAATGAATGAGGCATGGTGAGTGCACACCTGTAGTCCTAGCTACTTGAGAGGATTACTGGAGCCCAGGACTTGAAGGTTACAGTGAGCTATGATCGTACCACTGCACTTCAGCCTGGGTGGCAAAGTGAGGCCTCATCTCTTTACAAAAGAAAAAACAGTCGGGCGCAGTGGCTCACGCCTCTAATCCCAGCACTTTGGGAGGCCGAGGCGGGTGGATCACGAGGTCAAGAGATCGAGACCATGCTGGCCAACATGGTGAAACTCCGTCTCTACTAAAAATACAAAAATTAGCTGGGCATGGTGGTGTGCGCCTGTAATCCCAGCTACTCGAGAGGCTGAGGCAGGAGAATGGCTTGAACCCAGGAGGCGGAGGTTGCAGTGAGCTGAGATTGTACTACTGCACTCCAGCCTGGTGACAGAGTGAGACTCTGTCTCAAAAAAAAAAAAAAAAGAAAAGAAAAGAAAAGAAAAAAAAAAAGCAGAAGAAAAAAAAAAAAGAAAGCTGGAATGACAAATATATCTTGCTCAATTAGATAGTGAAACAGGAGCAGTACTACACTTGTCTGTATATCACTCAGGTGTCCTCCATTCTCACCCTCCAACTCACCTACCCATAAGGAGGTTCCTTCCTGGAAGGGAGATACCACTTGGTTAGGTTGACTGCTGCCAGCAAAAGGTGTCAGAAGCGCCCTATGACAGCAGAACCATTTTTGCTCTGTCCTCTTATAAGACTACCAGGGCTTTGGGGAACACATTATGATGGACCTTCCAAAAGCGTAATGCAAGAGGCAGAAATCCTATTAATATAAAATATGACAATGGTCCACACAGGCCACTCAACACAAGTATTCCAACTAAGCCAATATTCTTTCTACAAAGGTGCCACCACTAAAATATATGATCTATGTGTTGTAAGTGTCCTAAATATGTAATCTTCTTTCAATCATTCAATAGAATGTGCCTGTATACACCAGTTGATGCCCTTGAAGATAGTTTACTGGGTTGACTCACTGGTTTATTTCTAATTCCTGGCATATGGCAGCTATTCAGTCATTGCTAAATGAATAAATAAATGAGTAGCAATAAACAGTAAGAAGTGACTTCTGCTTTTTTGTTTTGTTTTGTTTTGTTACAGAACAGGAAACCTGTACGAAACAGTGCGTGTTTTCAAGCCTAGCATCTAGAGGGCAATATAGACAACAAAACTAATACAGAATGAGAAATGCTACAAAGTAGGAAAGGGTATAAGAGGAGCTTATAGGCTGGGCACCTGTAATCCCAGCACTTTGGGAGGTGAGCAAATCACCTGAGGTCAGGAGTTTGAGACCAGTCTGGCCAACATAGTGATACCCCATCTCTACTAAAAATACAAAACTTAGCTAGGCATGGTGGCACGTGCCTGTAATCCTAGCTACTTGGGAGGCTGATGCATAAGAATCACTTGACTCCAGGGGATGGAGGTTGCGATGAGCCAAGATCGCGCCACTGCACTCCAACCTGGGTAACAGAGTAAGACTCTGTCTTTAAAAAAAAAAAAAAAGAGAGAGAAAGAAGAGCATATAGGGGGAATATATACCCTAACTTTGGTGAGTGGTGATGAATATGGGCTTCCTAGAGGAAGGGAACTCTAAGCTGAGATCTGAAGAATGAGTAAAAATTAACCAATAGCTGGGCCCCTCCTTACTTTATGCAATGGAGAAGCAAGTAAGTTCTAAGAGCATATAAAGGCCCAGAGGAAAGTGAGAGCACAGTTTAGCCAATAAACTAAAAGGAATCAATATAAGCAGATGCTCAAGTATAAAGGAAGGTGACCGATAAGGCCAAATAAGTAGACTAGATCCCAGTGGGTAGGGGCTGAGAGGAGAGTTAACCATGTAATCTTGAGGGCAACAGGGAATCATAAAAAGGGTTAAGCAAGGATATGGCATTTTAGAACGATTCCTTAGTAGTAAGGACAATGGACTGGAAGGTAAAAACCAAGAGGCAAGAAGACCAGTAGAAGCTACTATAATAATACCAGTGAAAGCAGATAGTGGTTCTAAACTACAATAATATCTCAATGAAGATGAAGAAGTGTAGCTGACTTTGAAAGAAATAAAATTAGCATGAGATCTGATGCTTGATTTGACGTGGGAGAGTGAGAGAGAAAATGGAATCTAGGATGATGTCTAGTTCAGACAATGAAGTGGGAATAAAGGAAAGAGAATGTTTGATTGTGGGAGGAGTATCATAGGAAACAGTAGTTCCATTTTCAGGCTGATGTGCTTGTGGGCTCAAGTTGCAAATAGGCAGACAGATTTATATACTGGTTTGAAGCTCAGGACAGGAATCAGGGCTAGAAGGAAATGCATACACAGAATTCATTAGTGCAAATGGCAATTACAGTGTTGTGAGTAGATGAGACTACCCAAGGAAAGTATGTTCTGAAAGATAAAAAGAGGGCCTAGGATACACCTGGAAGCATCAGTATTTGAAAAGCTGGCCAGGGGAAAGTAAAAAGGTGGTCAGGGCAGAGTAGTAGTATGGAAACCAAGGGACAAAGTATTTCAAGAGGATTGGCCAACAGTGTCAAAGCTGCTGAGACATCAAAGAAGATACAAACTGAGAGGTTCTCACCGGATTTAGGGACAAGGTGATTGTGGTTACTTGCTCAGGGCAGGAGAGATTTCTCTAGCACAGTGAGGATAAGCTAACACCCTTACCTTCATCTTCTCACAGTGCTTGTCCAGTTTCTCTGGGGCTTGATTCACCCCCATGTAACCATCAGTGGTGTCCAAGGTTCCTTTCTCCAAACTAGCTTTCGAGAGCTGCTCCATTCCTGGAAGGTTGGTCAGCAGCTGTCCACCAGATGATCCTACTGAAGTTACCCAATCCAGGAGAGCATCGATTTTCTTCTTGTTCTCTGCCAGTTCCTTTGCTGCTTTACTCTGAAGTCACAGAGGTTGTCTAGTGAGAAGGCTTTACATACCCAATCAACAACCACAGGTTAAGTAATGGGGTAAAGGGGAGGAGATAATTTTATGCTAATTCTAAGACTGGGTATAAACAGTCTTTGCACATACAAAAGAGAATTCACATCTTTTAAAATCTTTTGAAAAATTATTAAAAATATCTCTACATTTCATTATATCTTACTGCTTAAAAAACAAAACAAAAAAAAGAGGCAGGACACAGTGGCTCATGCCTGTTATCCCAGCACTTTGGGAGGTCTGGTGGATCACTTGAGGATCAGGAGTTTGAGACCAGACTGGTCAACATGGTGAAACCCCATCTCTACTAAAAATACAAAAAATTATCTGGGTGTGGTGGTGCACACCTGTAGACCCAGCTACTCGGGAGGCTGAGGCACGAGTATCATTTGAACCTGGGAGGTGGAGGATGCAGTGAGCCAAGATTGTGCCACTGCACTCCAGCTTGGGTGACACAGCAATACTCTGTCTCAAAACAAAACAAATCTTAGGATTCAGAAATATTTTATTAAGAGATCATTTAGTCCTGCCACCTGAGCAATGCTTCACAGAATCTTTCAAGGTACACAGAAGTGCTGGACTGGCTTGGTAGGGTAAGAAATAGCACGGTCACATTCAATTACCTGGCTGCTCTTTCCTAAAGGAAAGACAAACTTCTTTCATCCTTTCCTCAACTAAACAGAACATTTAGCTCTTTTCAAATTTTTTCTCTCACCTGAGGCTATAGGGAAACATTTAATTCTTCAACTTGCCTTTGAAATTCTATTTACTGGCTCTACATGTAAAATTAAATAGGTTACGCCAAGTTATATATTTATCTATTTCAAAATTCATCTCCAGGGCTGGGCACGGTGGCTCATGCCTGTAATCCCAGCACTTCGGGAGGCCGAGGCGGGCAGATCACGAGGTCAGGAGATCGAGACCATCCTGGCTAACATGGTAAAACCCCGTCTCTACTAAAAAAAACACAAAATATTAGCCAGGCGAGGTGGCGGGCGCCTGTAGTCCCAGCTACTTGGGAGGCTGAGGCAGGAGAATGGCGTGAACCTGGGAGGCAGAGCTTGCAGTGAGCCGAGATTCTGCCACTGTACTCCAGCCTGGGCGACAGAGCAAGACTCTGTCTCAAAAAAAAAAAAAAAAAATTCATCTTCAGGTAATTTATTTTTCTTTTCCATGTTCTCTACTTTCCTCATTAGTGTCAGCATCCAAGGCTAAACAAAGGATTCAAATTCAATCCGCCAGTGCTGACTGGGGTGCAGAAGACCATTTGAGACTTTGGCTTCTCTGGTTTATCCCAGTGCCACGATTCCCACTGTAACTACAGAGGCAGCTCAGGGACAGCTTTTGGCTCACTAAGACTTCATAGATATTTTTCCCTAGTACTCTTAGATCACCAGTCTAGATTCATATTAAAATACGTCATTTGGCTGGGCACAGTGGCTCACACCTGTAATCCCAGCACTTTGGGAGGCCAAGGCAGGAGAATCACTTGAGGTCAGGAGTTTGAGACCAGCCTGGTCAACATGGTGAAACCCCGTCTCTACTAAAAATACAAAAATTAGCTGGGTGTGGTGGCATGCGCCTGTAGTCCCAGCTACTCATGAGGCTGAGGCACGAGAATCACTTGAACCCAGAAGGCAGAGGTTGCAGTGAGCTAAGATTGTACCACTGTACTCTAGTCTCAGCAACAGAGCAAAACTCTGTCTCAAAAAAAAAAAAAAAAAAAAAGCCATTTGCTTTTTTCCTACCCATAATAATACCCTTCCTCACTAAGTTCTTTCTGATATTTTTTAATTAGAGGACTGAGTATGCAGATAGCAAGATGTTTTGGGGTTGGGGGAGGAATATGTACTTTTTACCAACTGCACTGACAAACTCCTTTACAAACTCCTCGTGGACGTTTCTTGTAAAAATAAAGATTCTTGTAAAAATACAGACTAGCCAGCCTGGCCAACCTGGTGAAATCCCATCTCTACTAAAAACACAAAAATTAGCTAGGCGTGGTGACGGGCACCTGTAATCCCAGCTACTTGGGAGGCTGAGGCTGAGGCAGGAGAATCACTTGAACCCGGCAGGCAGAGGTTGCAGTAAGCCAAGATCATGCACTCCAGCCTGGGTGACAGAGATTCTGTCTCAAAAAACAAAAACCAGACTAGCTCCTGAAGTAGCCCTTTCTCATGATTCTGTGCATGCTATAAGACTGTTTTCCCCTCATTGTCTTTTGTGTTGGTACCAAAATTCTTTTTTGAAAACTATCAAGTGTCATAGCAGTTTATTACCTTTTCAGTCTCCTGCTGTAAGGCAGAGGTCACTGCTTCCTCCAGCTCCTTCTGGGCCACCCGTGTCTGTTCCCGGAGCGCCTCATATTGCTCCTTAGCCTGATGAAGCTTTTCCCGAAGAGCTGTCAACTCATGTGGGCTCAGCTTGGTCTGATTCTCTTCCATGAACCCCTCAATATCCTTGACAACAGCGGCAAATGAGGTGGCATGATTCTGAATGTCATCCTGTAAATCCTTAACACAAGAAAATAGGAATGGCAGAGCCTTCAACTTTCGTGCTTCTAAGTCCTCTAATGGTATAAAGATGGAATGGCTAGGATGACATATAGTCCTGTATATAGTCCCTGACTACAATTTTTTTCAGGTTTAGGCTTAAATCGATGCAAAGAAATTTTACTTCATTTTCTAAGCAAATATTTAGTGAAGCCAAAAAAGAAGGTTGTCCACAAACATGAGCATGAGAGATTTTTCATTTTGCAATGCATTATCCTCAAAGGGATCATTCTTTCCATAAAGAATTGTTGACAACATGATCTTAGCATAGTCGAGGCCTGATGGGCCTTTATACTCTCTTGGGTATCACTCCTTATCCTTAATGTGGCCTATAGGGTCCTGTGTGATATAAGTCCCACTTACCCCTCCAACTTCAACTTTCCCTAATTTTCCTCTTGTTCTTTGCAGTCCAATTGAACTAGCTTTCTTTCAGTTCTTGAATATGTTGTGCTCAATACCATTCCCACCTCAAGAACAATACATAAGCCTCTGCCTGGTATGTTCTCTTCCTCTTCCTACCTCTTCATGCATTAACCCCTACATATCTTTCATTTCTCAAGTTTAGGTGACAATTCTTCAAGATAATCTTTTCTGAAATTCTACTCTAGATTGGGTCTCTCTGCTATATGTTCCCATATGAGTTTTCCTTCACAGATATAACAGTTAATAATTTTATGTTCATTTTTATAATAATCTGTATAATTTCTGTATGCCCTACTAGACTTGTGCTAGACTTGTGTGCTTCACAAGGCCAGGGATGATGTCTGTTTACCATTATTGCTAACCCTTAAGCAATAAATATTTGTCGAAGGAATGAAAACATCGCCAGGCACGGTGGCTCACGCCTGTTATCCTAACATTTTGAGAGGCCAAGGCCAAGGTAGGAGGATTGCTTGAGCCCAGAGTTCGAGACCAGCTTTGGCAACATAGTGATACCCCATCTCTACAAAATAAATAAAAAATTAGGACATAGTGGCTCATGACTTGTCCCAGCCCCTGGGCAGGCTGAGGTGGGAGGATTGCCTGAGCCCAGGAGGTCGAAGCTGCAGTGAACCAAGATAATGCCACTGTACTCCAGCCTGAGCGATAGAGTGAGACTTTGTGTCAAAACTGACGGATTCACACTGACCTTCAAGTCACTTTGGTTCTTCTGCAAAGCAGAGAGATCCTGCCGGGTGGTTCTGCCTTGGTGGCCTGCCAGTGCTCTTTCTGCCTGTCCTACCCAACTGCAAAGATCCTCCAGTTGCTGGTGACAAGTATTTTGTTGTTTCTGCAGGGTCTAATTAAAATGCAAAGGGGTCAAAAAACATTTACTAATTCACATGTTACAAATACAAGAAACTCCCTGAAATGTAAAACAAGAAGGTTATCCCAAGGATGGAAACGTTGGTGGGAGACTAGAATAGGAAAAGACACAGAAGTCATATTCGGAAAGCTCCCCTCATTTGGACAGTCCATTGATCTGGGTCTATGTATTGGATAACAATCAGGATAATTATGAGAATGCTTCTAGTTCAGGTTTTGGTTTGGGGGCTCCTTCACCAGACTGCTGTTATTATCTTTGGAAATGGAGAAGAAAGAGCCCAGATGCTTGAAATCCACACATGATAATGGTGATGATAATAATTTAGTGGTTCTGATCAATCCCTCCACTAGAACCAGAGACTTGCTACATAATATGCAAAAGTAGAAGAATTGGAGTAGAAAGAAAAATCAAAGACCTGGATAATTCATAAGTTAATTGAGCTTCTTAATAATTGAGCTGACTTTATAAATCAAATATCTCATCAATCCAGAGACTCATTAAATAAAATGATTACATGCCAGGCATGAAGGGCTAGATTTGGCTATTTTGAGAAGGAAAGTGCCCAAGAATAGCAACTGGCTCAGTCCTTTAGGTGTCTACACTAATATCAAAGGAACAGGTCAGGCCCAAGGAGAGAGAGGGAATATGTTTCTGTGCCTGATCCTTTCTCTAGATTTTATCTCAGTTGTATGACATTGAAGCACCTGACTGAGCAATTGAGCATGATGTGTTCTCCTGACCATCCTTCTAAAACCATTTTCCACCAGTTTCTACCTTCTGATGGCGTTTTAGTCACCTGCACTTACAAACAGGTGCCCAACTGGCCCTCTCTCCCCCTCTTTAGGACAAATAGAAGGGCTCTGGAAGAGAACTCCTAAGAGCTCTTCAGCTGTAAAACAGGATCTTCATGGGTTAGGATGGGTGCAGACTGAATCTGAAAAAAGCAAAGCAAACAAGTTAACACAGAGACATACACACACATTCAGGGGAAATATTGAGAGAAGCAGAGCATTTCTGACAATAACAAGGTTAATAAGCATTGTGGAATTAATTACATGCTCAGGGAGAATGTTCACATGCAGTTCTATCACCTGCTGCAGCTCAGGCGTCTACCCTGAATCTGGGCTGGGTCTTGTCTTTAGGTGGCTCAGACGAATTTTACTTCATTAATTATCCAAAGGTTATATCATGCTATATAAACTCCCGAATGAGAGCACTGCACATGCTCAGTTTTCGAAGGTAACCTAAGGCTTTCCATTAGTATATCTCAATTTCAATACAGTTGAAAAAATGAGACAGTAAAAGGGGACATATGGCATAAACTACCCTAATTCCCCTAAAGTCTGACTCAAAAGCTCAAGTTTTTGCACAATATTTAATAAAGGAGCCCTTGAGACAAACTTTATGGTGATAATGACAATTCTAATATCATCTTGTTATATGCCAACTTACTATTCAAACAGCAGAAATGGCATGAACATCATTCTAGGTATTCTAAGGTTTTGATGTTATTATTAATGCAATTATGTTGAGCTGAGCTTTGCAAGAAGTGAGTTGTGATGGAAGATGGTAGGATGGTTAGTTTTTTGATTGTTTGTTTCTTTTAGTATCATGCCTGCTTCTACATACTGTTTTCCATGATTGAATAAGCACTGGGCACTACAGTGTGAGGAAAGGTGCAAGAAAATAATATTAATTTTTTAAAGAGCCAAAAATTAATACGATTCTAATAAAAATTTCCTTGTTAGCCACTTAAGGATTGTCAGGGAACCTTACTGTAAATCATTTGAAATAGATTAAATAGAATGAAACTGATTTCAGAACGCTTCTCCTCAAGAGCTCAGAGTATCTAGATGTTCTTACGAGCCCTCAAAACAATGCTAAAGGAGAAAGTAAAGTAGGGAAAGGACTAGATACATGATTTTCATTTGAAAGTCACAGACAATGAGATACAGTGAAGAAAAAGTCTCACTAAAAGAAAACACTTGCATATGCATACACATGTCAACACATACATTCTCTCACACATACATAAAACCAAAGACATGGCAAGAAAAACAGCCAGAACAGGTGTCTCCTGGACTAGAACCATACTGGCCTGCATGACATGAAATTTCAAAACTGGTAAACCCAAACTCCTGCAATCATGATGCACAGAGTCTGGCCAGAAAACCCAATGACAGAGGACACCCTCACAGACAAACTGAGCCCAGCTGCTGGTTCAGTCTGACCTTCACCAGGGCCTCCTGCTCCATCTGTTGAAGATGGCCCTGCAAGGCATCCACCTGAGCTGCAGTCTGTTCCAAAATTTCCTGGAAGGACCTTTGCAGTTCATTCAGAAGCCTCAGCATCTGTCGATTCTGCTGAGGGGACAAGTCCTGGGCATGTTCTGAGATAAAGAACTGAACATCAAAAGCAAGAGCATCCAGCTGAGATTTCCTTTCAGCCATGGGCTGTTTCAAATCCTAAGGTAAATGGAAAAAGGAAACAAAAAGCAAAACAAAACCATGATACTTCCATTTCTCAGTCCATGAAGAAAACTAACAGAATCAGAGAGGCTAATTTCCCGTACTCTCATAACTGGCACTAATGATTCTAGGGCCAAACTAGAATTAAAGTCTCTCTTGGCTGGGCACGGTGGCTCATGCCTGTAATCCCAGCACTTTGGGAGGCCAAGGTGGGCAGATCACAAGGTCAGGAGATCGAGACCATCCTGGCTAACACGGTGAAACTCCTTCTCTACTAGAAGTACAAAAAATTAGCTGGGCGTGGTGGCAGGCGCCTGTAGTCCCAGCTACTTGGGAGGCTGAGGCAGGAGAATGGCGTGAACCCGGGAAGCGGAGCGTGCAGTAAGCCGAGATTGCGTCACTGCACTCCAGCCTGGGCGACAGAGCGAAACTCCATCTCAAAAAAAAAAAAAAAATAATAAATAAATAAATAAATTCACAGATATTTTGGATTAGCAATAGTATAATTATGCAAGCATAAATAAAAGAGCTGCTTACTGCATTTGGAAATCAAGGTAGGTCCAATAAAGGAAACTTAATTCTAATTTATGAGGAGTTTGGAGAGACCGAAAGTGAGAGAGACTTTTTTTTTTTTTTTTAGATGGAGTCTCGCTCCGTTGCCCAGGCTGGAGTGCAGTGGTACAATCTTGGCTCATTGCAACCTCTACCTCACTGGTTCAAGCAATTCTTGTGCCTCTACCTTCTGAATAGCTGGGCCTACAGGTGCATACCACCATGCCTGGCTAATTTTTTGTACTTTTAGTAGAGATAGGGTTTTGCCATGTTGGCCAGGCTTGTCTTGAACTCCTGGCCTCAAGTGATCCGCCCTCCTTGGCCTCCCAAAGTGCTGAGATTACAGGCGTGAGTCACCGCGCCTGGCCATAAATTTTTTCAAAAAGTTTTGGAAAATATAACATGAATTTCTGATCTGAGATGTACCTAATTGTTCTTTCTTAGGTTCAAATATCTATTTGTATCCATCCAGCAATGAGTTACTGGTAGGCCAGTACTGAGAAAATACATAATTTGTTTGTGATTTGCTAAAATTTTTGTTTTTTGAGATAGGATCTTGCTGTCACCCAGGTTGGAGTGCAGTGACGCATACAAAGCTCACTGCAGCCTGGACCTCCCGGGCTCAAGCAATCCTCTCACCTCAGCCTTCTAAGTAGCTGGGACCAAAGGTGTGTACCACCATGCCTAGCTAATTTTTAAAATTATCTGTAGACACGGTGTCTCACTACATTGCCCAGGCTGGTCTCGAACTGCTGGGCTCAAGTGATCCTTCCACTCAGCCTCCCAAAGTGCTGGGATTACAGGCATGAGCCACTGCACCCAGCCTAAATTTTGATTTTTTGAGTAAATGATGCTGTTTATACTATTTTTAAAACTGTGAAAGATTACACTCAGACTTTCTTGTGTTATAGTTATATTTTTCCCTTAAAGTAGTAAAAACTATCCAAACACTAAAATCATCTGTTTTCAGACTATTAAAAGCAAGTAATCTTCCTACAAACATTCGGTGATTATCATTTATTTTATACTGGATCTCCATCACTTTGAAACTGACAGTAGATCAATTGAGAGTAGTCAATCCTGCAAAGTAGGCAGAAAGGGCTTCTTGAATATTTATCATAATGTTACAGTAGGTAGTTAGGCAGACATGAGCAGGGCATGAGAGGCCCTGCCCACCTCCACATTACCTGATGGTCACCTCCAAGAATGTCAGGTGACCATCAGGTGATGGTCAGGCGGTTGTTCAACCATCTCTCTAAAATAATAATTGGTTGTAGTCGGCAACAGAGAAAGGCATGCTTTTAATAGATAGAAAACACGTAAAGCTGGTGATTAGCAGCTTACTGATAAGATCTCAAGAGCCGGGCAAGTGGGCTCAAGCATGCACACTAAGAGGCAAAGTGGCGGTGTTTAAATCGGTATATGAACTTCTCCTAGGAACGCTCGACTGGTAAGGGAAAAACGCCTCAAGTGAGCACGTATACAACTTCAGTAAACACACTGCGCATCGGACCCCTCCCAAGTGCTGGCAGGTCACTGCACATGCAGACAGCCCACCCCAAGGGAAGAACCAGGGGAGGAAAAACATAACCCCTTGAAGCATGCCAACATATAAAACACAAGTCAAAGGACAGACAGCACACTAGGATCTCTCAAGTTGCCCGTTTGGCTCTCTTCCAAGTGTGCTTTACTTCCTTTCATTCCTGCTCTAAACTTTTTTTTTTTTTTAAGACGTGGTCGCACTCTGTCATCCAGGCTGGAGTCCAGTGGCATGATTTCAGCTCATTGCAATCTCCACCTCCTGGGTTCAAGCGATTCTCCTGCCTCAGCCTCCCAAGTAACTGGGATTACAGGCACCTGCCACCATGTCCAGTTAATTTTGTATTTTGTTTTCAGTAGAGACGGGGTTTCACCATGTTGGCCAGGCTGCTCTTGAAATCCTGAACTTCAGGT